GTGACTTCCATTATACACACTTGTTTTACCCTTCATGAAGTCAAGGATCATGTTTGGGGGATTGGAGAACTACATTCACTCTGGGGATTGCTATAATCACTATACTCCCCTGAGTATAAGCACTAAGCTCTTGTAAGAGCTGTTCCTGCTACGCTCTGAACTAGGAGAGGTCTACCTACTGGAAACTGGATCCTGGTCTTGGGTCCAGGGTGGGTGGAGAACGGCAAGACCCCAACCAAGCTGCACAGTGTCGTGGGGTTTATGGTGGTTTTGGTGGTGCAGTGCTTATGTTACTAGGAAGCAGCCATTGACTGAGCTACCCGGTCGGGGTGCAGTCAGTCAGACACGGCACCACTACAAACGGGCGGAAGAATGCTGTATACTCTCATCTTTCCACTTCCACCTTGACCATGAGGTAGTGTTGATGCTGCCTGAAGGAACCCAGTTGGAACCATGGCGACTACCTTGCTGGACATTGTCCTGACCACAGCCTTTATGGACTTTCGCACACAGTTCCAGCTGCCTTGCAGATCGGGCAATGACTGACACAAGGCTCTCTAATCTTCTCTCCCACGTGTCTAGGAGATGGTTTCTGCTTATTCACTCCACTATTCTGATTATGTTCACTCTTTGAGCACTTCATTGTTTTTGTAATTTTTATTTTTTATTTTTATTAATCCTAATGTGCTTTTTCTTTATTTTATAGACTCTGGGCACTGTTGTCCCTCCTAATACTGTCACAGTGGTCTTGTCAATATTCTGTCTCCTATAATTCCATTCCTCTCAAGTTACTCATTCAGACATGGGTCTCTGCTTTTTGTTATTTATAAAAAAAAAAAAAAATTGGTACAGTACTCTCGACATATATTGCAGTAGCATGTATTTTTTAAATCTGTTTTCCTGCTGGAGTGTCTTTAATTTCCTGCATTTTCATCTTGCACTGAAAAAAATGTCAAAAAAATAAAATAAAAAATAAACCCCCATGTGTGTTTGTGCAGCTGGGCTGAAGAGACATTTTAAGGAATGTTTATTTTAATCCACATTTGCAATGTGTGAACTGGCTTTGCATTATCTGGAATGGATTGGGATGTAGTATGCTAACTCTTGAAGGAACACTAAAGTGTTTGTAATACAAACGTGTTTTCCTAATGCTATACTACCATGTTGAATGTTTAGCACCCCTTCCCCTGAAAGGATTAATAGTCATTTTATTAACCTTTTCTCCCTAGCACTGGTCTCCACACTGCCATCCCACTTCAAAGGCTGAGATCAAGATTGATCTCAGCCAATATAATGCTTTCTCATAGGAAAGCGTGGAGAGGCTAGTGTGTAAGTGCAGCAGAATGCTTTGCTGTGCCAATCAGTTTACCATGGTTAATCAGAAGCGCCTCTAGTGGCTCAGTGTGACATTTACTAGAGGCATTTAAACCCTACAATATATTATACTGCAGGATTAAAACGATAGGGCATGGTGCCCAGACCACTTCATTAAGATGAAGTGGTCAGGGAGCCTATAGTGTCACTTTAAAATGAACACTCCAGGCACCATTAATGCAACAGTTACAATCATTTTTATAGTGCCAGCATATTCTCCAGTGCTGTACAATAGGTAAATAGGACAAACTTTTAAATTAACAAAAAGTATGTATGTTTGACTTGCATAGTAAAAAATGACCTGTCTAAACGAGCTGAAGGGATAAAACCAGAAATACCATGGCCTTTGCTTCCTCCCTGTCACAGCTCCCCGTTCTTCTGCCAACGTGGCCGCACCTAAACTAAGCTGCCACGCCGACAGATATTGTATACTTAACTTGGTCGAGGCAAACCGACCTCCTTCCATTCCTGTCCCCAGAGTGTATGACATTCCTAGAGATGCCGGCCAGTGCGGTTCCGGTTTTTATAGGAGACTCCCCTTCTCAAGACACGCACACACGTTTTGGGGATCAGAGGCCAGAGACCGCCTCAAGAGGGTTATTTAAACCCAAATTACCTTTTGGTCAGTGCCCTGACGTGGTTTCCACTAGCTTGTTATCAGAGTGTTCCTGATAGTGTTTTTCTGTTTTTTGACTTTGTCTTCGTTTTGACTTCCCTGATTTCTGGTACCCTTGACTTTTGGGCTTTTCCTTATCGCTGTGTCTCGTTCTGTGTCCCTGACCTCAGCTAATTTTCGGACTACTCTAGGGTATGTTAAGTCTGGCCATTCTAAGGTCCGGTTAGATGTTGCCCTTAGTTCTAGGTTGTGATACTATTTTGAGTGCTGGATCAATGTAATCCTGACACTGCCTTTCCCCCTCACCACATTGTAAGTAGTCTAACCATTTTTGAATGGTTTTGGCTCAGAGGAACTAAAAGGAAGTTCCTGCTTAACGTAGTGGGCTGGTTACCTAGATGCTGTCCCTGTACTGTGATAAATGTAAGCATTGCGGTTTGTGAGAGGCTTTTGTCGGTCAGTGTGCTTAATGACTATGCTGAATGCATTTTATAGAGAAACCAGACATCCCAAGTCACTCCGGCATTTTGATTGCGGCAGTCTGACACCTACAAATCACATACAAAATCCTGTAAATCATACAATCTGACAGTGTATGTCAGATTGTGTGTGTGTGCGCGATTTCCAGGATATAGAATATGATTTGCACCACCTCCACCTGATAATACTCGCTAGACAATGGCCTATTCGGGTGCTATGGTCCTTTAAGAGTAGACCGACCCCAGTAGTATCTGCCGGCAGGGAGGAAGCAACATACTCTCTTCTTCCCTGCTTCGCAGAGAGTTGCCCGGGAGAAATGGAGGGAGGAGGCTGGAGGCAGAGGAGAGGCTGGAGTGAGCTGGTGCATGCTCACTCCAATCAGCCTCAGCCGGACCTTCTGGCCACAAAGGTATGCCAACAGGAGGGTGGCTGCATATATATGGTATAACCCGTATCTGTGTCAGTATGTACCAGTTTGTCAAGGTGTTTATACATGTTTGGTGTGTGTGTGGGGTGTACAGTAGCTGGCGAAGCCACCTCCCTGAAATATATTTTTGCATGTTGGAATGTCTGAGAAGTATTTGAGTGAGATCAGTGAGTTTATCACAATGGCTGGCAGTCTTTCCCCATGGGCATGCTGGGCAGTGGGCCCACCATGCTGCCCAGCATGCCATGTCGACAGGGGAAGGGATCTTGGCAATGCTCCACACCACAGGCTGCAGGCTACATAGAATTTACCACCACCGGACCACCAGGGCTGGCTGTATCCCCCCTAGCGCCCCCTGTATCCTAACTCTGATTATGATTGACCAATGAGCAAAGGGAACATAACAGCAGTCAACTGCTAAGTACCCTCGGAGTATTCTTATGGAACTAGACTTCTCAAGATGGAGAGAGATCACTTTTGGGGGTGGACCTGCATGTTACCCAAGGAGCTTAAAGGAACACTATATGGTCAGGAACACAAATGTATTCCTGACCCTATTGTGTTAAAAACCCACCATTTAGGTGGCTTGCCCCTGTTACCCTTTAAATGTTAATAAAACTTACTTAATTTCCAGCGCCATCTGAGTGGCCATTGGAGGTATCCCTAGGGGGCAATGGAAGATGTCTGCAGGGTTGGATTAACATAGGGGCTGATGGAGCTGCAGCTCCAGGCCCATGCCTAATGGAATAGGCACATTGATTAAAAAAAAAAAATTTTTTTTTCTTTTTTTCACACTACTCTTAGGGTTGCCACCTGGCCGGTATTTCTCCGGTATTTAAGGCTGCCTAGACGGTGCCGGTATTGCAGTAATACCGGCAATACAAATATTATCTATAGTGTACTGCTGTAGTATATTGTACTTGCAGCTACATGCATTAATTAATAATCTGGCTGTTAAGATTTGATTGGCAAAATTGTAATTTTATGTCAGGACCGGAGGCTTCATATTTGCTTTACCTTCTTTACTGAAAACCTTCAGCAGCAAAGAAACAGTTAACAGAACTTTTCAAAACAACCAATCAGAACAAAACAGGCATCAGTATAAAACCACCGAGACAGACCCTCCCACTTTCTCTTTCTTTGCTGCTGCCTCCAGGTGAGCACTCACCAAGTCAGTTGTCTCTGCTCTGGGTTGTAATTTTATATATATATATATATATATATTTGCATTGCTGTATTATTGCTAACAGGTTTTATGTGACTTGTTCTGGGCTATTTGAGGTGGTTTCTCCTGACCCATCTCATGGTTCTGGGTGTTTCAGGGTTGCCTCTCCTACCTGCTCCCTTGATCTGGGGCTTCCCTCCGGCCGCCTCTCGCGGTTCGGTCCTGTGGTGCCCTCCCGGGTTCCCGCCTCCCTCACCCTCTTCTCTCATCTCCTGCCGCTTCCACGCGGCCCCCAACTGCTTATTAGGCTGCATCTGCCCTCTTGTGGCCATACCGCGAGGTAGGCCGCGCTCTATTTGCGGCGGCCGTTTTGCCGTAGCTGCGTGGTCTCCGGGCGCTCCCGACGGCCGGACCTCTGTCTCCCTCAGCCCCTCTGTTTTCTGGCCATGTGGCCATCCCAGTCTCTGTACCCCCTGGTAGTTGTGGCTACGGCTGGCAGGGGTGTGCAGACTGCCTATTAGTGGTTTCCTTCCATAGGCATGTACAGTTTCCTGCGTTGTGTGTTAAGTTTTTTTTGCGTGCTGCATTTGTGAATTTTCTTCCCCATAGCAGGTGGATTGTCAAGCAAGTGGATTGCACTACCCTACCACATTAGGGGTGACCCCCCTTTTCCTGTATCATTGGGACACGATCCCTGCCTAAACTGCCCTATACTGGGCTATACTACCGTGCTGTAGCACTGTTATGGGCTGGGTGACCCCCTCCCTACTGGCCAAGCTATCAGGGTCCTGGGCATAAAACTGAAGGTGATCCCCTCCGATTGCATTATATGTTAGTGCTTGCTGGGTGACCCCTTCTTGCACGCTGGGTGACCCCCAGCCGGCCCTATTTAGATACCACGCTGATTGTACCTTTCCACTATTTCAGTAAATACTATCATGGCTGACTCTGGCTTCCACGCCCCTGAAGGCCTCCAAGCATGGCTGTGCGCCGCCTTGGCGGATTCCTTACCCAGTGCCCTCGCTGCCCTCCATGGTGACGCCCTGCCCGCCCCTGCGGGTTCCACACCTGGACCCTCTTGCACACGGGACTCTGACTCTGGGGGCTCCCTACATTCTGCGGACTTGGGCTTGATGCAAAAGAAGCCTTGGAAGGGCCCCTGCACCCCCACTGACAAAGGCAAGATGCCTGCCAAACTGACCAGACTGGGTACCGGATCGGGCGGCTGCCCTACAGAAGGGCACTCTCTGGAGAACCAGGCTATGACATCATGGATGAATATCGGGCCGGCTGATCAGCCTCCGCGTCACCTGGAGAAGGCGCTCCTGACCGCTGCTCCCGATATGTACAGGAGACGGTACTGGACTCTACCCTGCCCGGCTCGCAGAAAGCCTCTACCGCTCATGCTGATGACCCAAGTGAAATCTTAGACCCCTCAGGCCTTCCGCTCTTCGACCCACGCCTCCTCAAGCACCCTTGCTCTGCGAAGTGGACACCCCCGGACCACATTGCGGAGTTCCTCCGCTACTGGCTGCGTCGCTCATTGGACAAAGCGGTCAGGGCGAAACTTCGGGCTGAATGCCCGCGACCAACCCTACCGGATAAGGTAGCCACTACACCTGATTTTTGACCTGTGTTCGCAACCTTTATGACAAAGTCAGGGAAGGATCCCCGCAAGGGCCTGGAACAGGGCTTGCGCTCCGCCCAGGACAAGCTCCTCGACATCAGCGGCCCGCTGACCCAGATCTTCCTCATGGCAGATGACGCCCTACAAACGGACCGGCGGTGGACACCTACCTCCTCCGAGAGTGGGCACAAAGGACAATCTGCTTCCTGGGAAATGCCAATGTGGCACTTAATCAGAAAATTGACCGTCCAAAGAGCTGGGCCCAGAGGCCAAAGGTCTGCTATTCGGAGACGCATTCATGAAAGAACTGAATCGACACGTATCCATCTACACGTCCTTGAACAAGGCGCAACAATCACTCCGCAGAGTCTTCCGTGCCGGGGATCGTTTTTCCTCCAGGGCTGGTCGGCACCGGGGCCGTGCCACCAGCAGAGCTGCCTTCATGGGCAACAGGCCCCGCATCTGAGTCCTTCTCCTCCTGGTACCAGAACTGTCCATTATTCTCACAAGGATCGGCCAGAGGCCGAGGTGCTTCCTCCACACGGGCAAGATACGCCTCAGGTAAGTGTCCTACCATATTTGCCACACTTACCCATTGCGGGCAGATTGTCTCACTTTTCTCTTGAGTGGGGGGCCATCACAGGAGAACAATGGGTTCTACAGACAGTGTCCGGATTCAGGATCGATTCCGTGACAACCCCGAAACAGACGTCTGCCCCACGGCCTATCCGTATGGACAGAGAGGCGTCCGATCTGGTCCATTCAGAGATACGTGCCCTGTTGGACAAGGGAGCGGTGGAGAGGGCAATATCTTCCTGGTAAGGCAGATATCAGGGGACTTCTGCCCTGTAATCAATCTGCGTGCCCCCAACGGATGTTGTCTGACATTTCAAGATGGAGGGCATACACCTCCTCAGGGATCTACCAGTTGTTCTCGTGTTTGGACTTGAACGACGCATACTTCACGGTTCCGGTCCATCAGGAGGACAGGTGTTTTCTCCAGTTCATCTGGCAGGAACGCGTTTGGCAATTCACGTTCCCCCCGTTCGGCCTCAGCTCGGCTCCATGGTATTTCACCAAGCTGTTGAAGCCGGCATGGTAACGCTGAGAGCCAGGTGGATCAGATCGATCATCTATCTGGACGATATCCTGTTGATGGCACAAGATCCCGACGTTCTGCGTCCGCAGACGGCTTTCACTATCCGCTTGCTCCAGGACTTAGGTTTCGTCATCAATGTGGAGAAGTCGGAACTGACCCCCTCTCAATCAGTCCAGTTTCTCGGGTTTGTTGTGGACTCTGTTCAGACGCTACTCCGTCTTCCAGTATCCAAGGTGGCTGCCATCCGGAAGGACATCAGACGCCTACTCCGCAATCCGAGGACCACCCTACAAGATCTGGCCGTTACTACCGGGGTCTCCATCGTCTGGAGGCTCGATTCCTTCATTCATCCGCCTCCTACAACCAGGTTGTATCATTATCAGACGAGGCCCGTCTGGAACTGCACTGGTGGCTTCGACACATGGAGGCGTGGAACGGCAGGGCGATCTTTGGAGTCAAACCGGACTTTGTCCTGGATTCGGATGCCAGCTGCCTAGGCTGGGGCACTACTTGCGATGGCGTGGCGACAGGAGGACTTTGGACCCCGGAAGAAAAAGCTCTCCACATCAACTGTCTGGAGCTGATTGCGGGGTTGTTTGCCATTCGCAGTTTCACCAAAGGAAAGAGTCACTGCTTCTTCGCATGGACAATGTCTCAGCTGTCCGGTACATAAATCGACTGGGAGGTTCCCGATCCAAACTGCTGTCAGATCTCACGAAGGACCTGTACCAATATTGTCTGGACAGGAAGTTGTCGATTGTAGCGTAATACCTTCCGGGACAAGACAACCTCGTAGCGGACTGGTTCTCCCGCCACTGGAGGGACGCCAGCGACTGCATACTCTGGTGTTTCGGAAGTTGGACCTCATACGTGGTCCCTTCCATCTGGATCTATTCGCATCCAGGACGAACCGACAGACGGAACTGTTATTCAGCTGGCTCCCAGATCCCCTCAGTATGGCAGTGGACACATTCCTTCAATCATGGCCCCCATCGGGGGAATATGCGTTTCCCCCCTTCTCCATGATCCTTCGGACGCTACATCGCATCAAGCTTCTGAAGGTGTCGATTGTACTGGTGACGCCTCTCTGTAGAAGTCAGCCATGGTTCCCTTTACTACTGGAGTTATCGTGCAGGGATCCGCTAGTGCTACCTGCCTCCAGATTTCTCCTACGGTACCCAGTGGGGAATCCACACCTGTTAATGTTGGAGGATCGTCTCACCCTGGTGGCCTGGACAGTTTCCGGGGTTCATGGGATGTCGGGACAATCGACTATGGCTAGAGAATTACTCTGGGACTCTTGGGCACCTGGCACCAGAGGATCATATTTACACACCTGGCACTCCTGGTATGGCTGGTGTCTGGAGAGACGTTTGGATCCCTTTACGGCCCCTATTATGGCCGTCCTGAATTTCCTGGCTGAACTGTTTTCTCAGGGTCAGTCTTATAGGACTATCAATGTTTTCCACTCTATCTCAGCGGTTCATGTCCCTTTCCAAGGCTCTGGTGTTGGTAGGGAACCCTCGGTCTGCAGACTGCTCCGAGGGGTGAGACTTTTGAGACCCCCCTGCTTCTCGCTATTCCTCATTTTGGGACATACCCCTCGTTTTAAGTTTCCTTGAGGAATGGCCTGATAACGGGGATGTATCTCTACGCCAGCTTTCTGCTAAGCTGGCTCTCCTACTATGCCTTGTATCCTTTCGTCGGGTTTCGGATGTCAGGGCCTTTGACGTAGAATCCTTTTCGTTTTCTCCAGATGGTGTCTCTGTTTCAGTCTCACGCAGGACTAAATCTAATTCGTCTTCAGTGTCTTATCCCTACTTCCCAGATAGACCACGTCTCTGCGTGGCACGTTGTTTACGGACGTATGTATCCGTGACTTCGTTATGTCGGCCTTCCGCCTATGGTCAGTTATTGATTTCCTATGTTCGACTGTTTAGGGCTGTCTCTGCCCCCACGATCGCTCGTTGGATTCGATGGCTCCTCTCATCGGCTGGCGTGGCGAATTCGTTTGGGGCACTGCAGCGTGAGCGGCTCTTGAAGCCGGTGGGTCCCTTGTGGATATCGTCAACGCCGCTGACAGGTCTAGAGAATCGACATCCCGTACCTTTTACTTTCGCCCGCGCTCTCATGTTTCTTCTGTTTTTATGTCTGGATGTTTAAATTGCAAATATGAAGCCTCCTGTCCTGACATAAAATTAGGGATTATTCTAGCTTCGGTGAGGGAATAATCTAAATTTTATTAAAGACAAGAGGCGAATATTTCCCACCCTGGAATTGGATTTGTTTTTGCCTTTATGTTAATTGGGGTTTCGATTGTATGCGCTTTAATGTATGGTCCAAATTTCTCTTAATAAAAACAATTTGTTACTACAATTGGTGATCAGTGTACATTTATTTATCAGATTGTGGTCTATTAATGCGCTGATTGTGTATGGTGTGACATTCTGCTATGGCAGTTTACTTTCACGATGTTTCTTTTCTTTTACAGTGTGATCTAAATTGTTCTGGATATGGCGGTTTCTCATCTGAGTTTTCGTTTGGTCTTCATGCTCTCCTGCTCGACCTCATCAAAGAAAGAGGAAGTGGGAGGGTCTGTCTCAGTGGTTTTATACTGATGCCTGTTTTGTTCTGATTGGTTGTTTTGAAAAGTTCTGTTAACTGTTTCTTTGCTGTTGGAGATTTTCAGTAAAGAAGGTAAAGCAAATATGAAGCCTCCTGTCTTTAATAAAATTTAGATTATTCCCTCACCGAGGCTAGAATAATCCCTAATTCACCACTTTCTTGTCCACTCCCATTCCTACCCCCATGTTTGCCACTCCTAGCTGTAAATACCTTGATAAAACAATTTCTCTACTCACTCACTAGGCCCATTTCCCATACCATCTCTACTGCAAGCCTCTACAATTCTACTGGGCTCAACCCACCCAGGTTCCTCCTAAATTTATAGCATGCTCCTCCAGCTGTTTAAAATTCTCACTCACTTACCTCTTCATTCCCTCTATATTCTACAATAGCTGCAACTCTGTTTCCTTATTTAGCCATCACTTCCAAATTTCCCCTGCCACCCCTTGTCTCAAATCACCACGGTATCCTTTTGATTGTAAGCTCACGAGCTATCTACCTATGCACTTTGCATAAAAGAGCTTAAATGGCAAGATTTCAGCTTACGGGCAGGGCCCTCCAGGGCTGGACTGGGGATACAAAGCAGCCCTGGAAAAAAAAAATTGTGCCAGCCCCATAAGTCACTGCGCCATATATTGTCGCGTGTAATATGTAAGGCTATGTCTTGCCAGGACAGATGATTGAGTAATATATATATATATATATCTATATCTATATCTATCTCTTTTTCTAATATAAAATATTGGTCCTTTCAGGGTAAAATGTTTAATTATACAGTAAGCATACGCACATGCAGACACAGGCAATTTCAGTGACACACACAAGCTCATTGATACACAGCCTCATAGACAAACAATCTTACTGATATACATCAGCTCATTGACATAAAAACACAAGCTCACTCACTAGCAGGCACACGCATGCAAGCAAGCTCACTCACTAGCAGACGCACACACACAGCTTAATGTGGTGGTACTGGTGTCTATAGCATGTCCCTACAGGCTTTTCAACGTAAACACTGACTTTTCAGACAAAAGGCAGTGTTTACATTGCTTCAAAGTGACACTGCTAGTGACAGTCACTCAGACGGTCACTAGAGGTGCTTCCTGTGTTAGTGCCCTCCCGCGCTGCTGAATGAGACTGGCGCCGGAATATGACGTCATATTCCGGCGCCGGTCTCATTCAGCTGCGTGCTGGGGAGCAGAGCCAGCGCAGCTCGCGCAGCTCCCTCAGCGGCCGCCAGGACAAGTCCGCCAGCTGGCCGCCAAAAGACCTCCCCAGCGGCCAGGGGAGGGCTGGCAGCCTTAGGCCTGGGGGGCAAAACCAGTCAAGTAGACTGGTGCACCTGCCCAGGATCAGAGCCGGTGCAAGGATTTTTGCCGCCCTAGACAAAATAAAAATTTGCTGCCCCCACATGTCACATCACAATGCCCCACCCATATGAACTAACGCCAGTGCTGCACACAGTGTGTGTTTACATTAAAAAGCCTGCGGGGACCAGCTATAGACACCAGAACCACTTCATTAAGCTATAGTGTCCCTTTAATGTGAGGTACATTATAGATTAGTGTCACTAATAATATACTAGATTGCCTACTTACAAGCAGATGAGGATGATGATGGGCTGCAGTTTGGCTCCACTGGTCTGGTGTAGAACAGGATCTCTGGAGCTGTTTGCAACTGTGGTCACAAAATTCAATGTTCTGGGAGAATTGGAAGCAACTCCATTTTTTGGGGGGCCCCTTACACAGCTCAAGGTCTGGGCCCCAGGGCCTGACGGTGAGTATGCCCACAAGGCCCACTCATAAGTCCACTTATATGTTCCACCCACCCATGAGTTCGCTCACAGGGAGTGGAGTGTGTAGGGGATGTGTTACGTGTTATTGTAGAGGATCTAATATGTGTGATGCAGTGTGTTTGTGTGTAGTGGAAGCAGTGTGTATTTGTGTATAAGGGATGTATTATGTGTTTCTGGTTGTGTGTAAGTGATGCATTGTGTGAATCTGTGTTTGTATGCATAAGGGATGCAAGGTGTGTGTCTGTATGTGTGTGCATTGAGTGTAAGAGATGCATTGTGTTTCTGTGTGTATGTAAGAAAAGAAGTGTGTGTGTTTGCATGTGTGTGTACGGGTTTGCATTGTCTGTTTCTGTGTATGTGTGCAAAGGATGCATTGTCTGTGTGTAAGGGTTGCATTGTGTGTTTCTCTGTGTGCAAGGGAAGCATGTTGTGTTTCTGTGTATGCATAGGGATGCATTGTGTGTGTGTGCACGCGTAGTGTGAAAGAGCTCCCTGTACTATAGAGCTGCCCCTTCTTCTTATTCCCCCCCCCCCTCTTCTTATTCCCCTCCTCCCTCTTCTTATTCCCCCCCTCTTTTTATTCCCCCCTCCCCCTCTTCTTATTCCCCTCCCTCCCCTCTTCTTATTCCCCTCCTCTTCTTATCCCTCCCTCCCCTTTTCTTGTCCTCCCTCCTCTTCTTGTCCTCCACTCCCTCTTCTTATTCCCTCCCTCCTCTTCTTGTTCCCCCCCTCCCCTCTTCCTTATTCCCCTCCCTCCCTCTTCTTTATTCCCCCCCTCCTCTTCTTATTCCCCCCTCCTCTTCTTGGCCCCTCCCTCTTCTTATTTCCCCCCTCCCTCTTCTTGTTCCCCTCCCTCTTCTTGTCCCCCCCCTCCCTCTTCTTGTCCCCCCCTCCCTCTTCTTATTCCCCCCCCTCCCCTCTTCTTATTCCCCCATCTTATTCCCCCCTCTTCTTATCCCTCCCTCCCTCTTCTTATTCCCCCATCTTATTCCCCTCTTCTTATCCCTCCCTCCCTCTTCTTATTCTCCTCTTTTTTATTCCCCCCCTCTCCTCCCCCTCTTCACCCCCTCCCTGTAGGCGTGGCCGGAGCTGCCACTCCGGTCCTTGGTGGCGGCCGGCGGCGGGGTGACGGAAGGGGCACACTGATGTGCACTTCCTGTCAGTCGGCCGGTTGCAGGAAACAGAAACTCCGCGCGGAACAGGGTTTCTGTTTCCTGTAACCGGCCGGACTGACAGGAAGTGCACACTGAGTGTGCACCTTCCTATCAGTCCGGCCGGGCACCGCGGACCGGAGTGCAGCTCGGCCACGCTACAGGGGAGAAGCTGCAGCCGCCTGACCGCTCTTCACAGAGCACTCAGGCGGCTGCAGTATTTAAAGGGCCGGCCCCAGGTGCCGATGGCCCACCGGGAAATTTCCCGGTATCCCGGTGGGCCAGTCCGGCCCTGGGGCCCTCTCTACCTTTTGTATTTGTCTGTGTATATTGTATGTTCTCCACTAATTGTACAGCGCTGCGGAATCAGTTGGCGCTTTATAAATAGTAATAAATAAATACATAAATAATCTATCTGAGATTATTCTGCAATACCAGCACTGGCCAGTAAGGGTCACTGTCTGTGTGGAGAGAGGCAGGGATTGAAGGTTACAGCCTCTCCCTCCCTGCCTCTTTCTACTAACTGATCTGCGGGGGAACAGCTCTGCACAGAAAGTCCAGACAGCAGATCAAGTCTGCAGAGACAGCCTACAGCTTGGGTAAGTGAGGGATGGGGGTAAAGGCTGCAGGAAGACATGGGGTCACTGAGACACTAGGGGACACTGGGAGACATAGGGACACTTGGGAACACTGAGAGACAGGGGACACTGGGAGACCTGGGGACACTGAGTCCCCATGTCTCCTAGCCAATGTCCCTAGTGTCTGTGTCCCTAGTCTCCCAGAGTCCTCTAGTCTCTGTGTCCCCAAGTGTCTCGGTGTCCCCAGGTTTCCTAGTGTCCCCATGTCTCGAAGTGTCCCCTAGTGTCCTAGTGACATGGGGACATTGGGAGACATGGGGACACACTCTAAGGGACACTGGGCGACAGAGTTCCTGGTGTCAGTGTCTGTAGTGTGCTAGTGTCTTAGTGTTTCCTAGTCTCCCAGAGTCCCCTAGTATCTGTGTCCCCATGTCTCCCAGTGAGCGTCCTCGTGTCTCCCAGTGTCTGTGTCCCCTAGTATAAAATAAAAACATCTGTCACTTACTGAGATAGATTTAAGCAGGTTAATTGGACACCGCAATGTTTCGACCTGTATCTGGGTCTTTATCAAGTTTCCTGTGTCCCCTATGTATCACAGTGGCACTGAGACATGTATCACAGTATCTCAGTGCCCCGTGTCTTCCAGTGTCTCCTAGTCTCCCAGTGCCCGCAAGTGTCTGTGTCCCCTAGTATAAAATAAAAAAAATGTCACTCACTTTGATAGATTTAAGCAGGTTTATTGGACACCGCAATGCTTTGACCTGTATCCAGGTCTTTATCAAGTCTCCAGTGTCCCCTATGTATCACAGTGTCTCAGTGCCCCCTCATGTCTCAGTCTCCCAGTGTCCCCAAGTTTCCCAGTGTTCCCTAGTATCTCAGTGTCCCCGTGTCTGTGTGTCCTAGTGACATGGGGACACTGGAAGACATTGGAACACAGACACTAAGGGACATTGGAAGACATGGGGGCACAGACATGCCCCTTTTTTGGGGTATGTTCTCCCCTTTCAGCAGTTCTGTTTATGTGATTTGGGTCAGTGGCCCACCCTTTTACCCCATCTATAGACTTCCTTCTTCACTGGACACTGCTGTTAGGGGATATGGATTTACTTGAAAGATGAAAGTGTGAGATTAGCATAGGGTATGTGCTTTCTCATAGCTACATCCTATGAGTTTCCCTCCAGCACCATCTCCCTCAGATACATGACGATTGGGAGGTAGGACTGTTTTAGTGTTTTGGTTGCTAAGATTTGTAATTAGGCTCATCATAATTGTCAGCACCAGGCCCACTGGGCTCTTAATCTGGCCCTGGATGTCTGTGAACTGCATAATATGTGTATGAAATTGCCTGAAGGGAATGATTATACTCACCAGAAGAACTAAATTAAGCTGTAGTTCTTCTGTTGACTATAGTGCCCCTTTAACTTTTGTTATTTATCACACAAGCCCATCAATCAGTGTCATTTCTTCATACAAGCCAGAGCAAGACTTTTTGTCTCTGGGTACTGTTCTTTTTCCCTTTATTCTTGTAAACATGTTTGGAAATAGTTTTACAAAAAGCAGGGTTCTCCTGGTTACTTAGGGGTCAACTTCTCTCCAGGTGCACTGGTAAAGTGGTATTTATACTACCACATTATTTGTAACTATTTCATCAAACCTTAGCAGCGACGATTGGAAGGAAATGGCTGCAGCCAGGCTAGGTCATGCATCGTCCTTCATAGCCATCCAAGTGTAAATTCTGCATGACTTTTTCTGAAAGGAAAACAGTCTTTGAGTGCCGGACCTATTGTCCCAAATGGGTCTTTGCTTCCACACAATTCCACCATTTACCCTGGCCCATGTTGTCTTGGTTTTACAAATGTAGCATTATCCATTTACCACTTCATATCTGTATTTCTGTACTGTACAAGCCTATACCTCACGTGTCCATTGTTTTGATAGACTGATCATCATTTATATACCAAGGCTGCCTTTGGTGGTACCACAGACGTCAAGTCACTTTTTAAAACGTTCACCCAGAGCTGACCAATGTGATTTGACCATTGGTTGTAATTTGAAGCTATTCAATTTGACTTGTTAAACTATGCAGGCTTCAGTAGTTTAATTTATGGTATACCTCTACTTCTTTTTTAGATTTCAAAAGCTCTGAAAAACTTGCAAGAACTTGATATCTCCCTGGATATTCTTGTGGTAAGTGCTCTCAAATGATCATTTTCAAAGTTAGAAATGAACTCCAAGTGGAGTCCTGAAAAGTCTGGATCTAATTTAGACACAATTTCTTTGGTAGCCCCAAGTCCCTTGTAATACAGAGAAAAGTATACCTCCACTTCTATAATCTGTGACAGCGCCCCTTTAATGCACCATATTTGGAATGAATTATACAGCACACTGTATTGGTATTGCTCTACCTGCTGCAGGTTACTACTGCTGTGGGTGAATGGTTAATACATCATGGCTTGGGGTTAATACCGCAGGTTTAAGGTTTATAAATATAGATTCATGTAATACTCAAAAAATGTTGTGTAAAAAAAATTTGATTTTGAACACTGAGTTTAAAGGAACACAATAGGCACGCACACCACTTGATCTCATTTAAGTGGTCTGGTGCAGTGTCCCTGTCCCCCTTAGCCCTACAATGTAAAATATTGGAGTTTTAGAGAAACCAGACAGCCACTATAGGCACTTCAAGCAGTCAATCTCCATTAAATGATGCTGGACGTCCTCAGCATTTGCACGAGGGCATCAAGCAAAACGTAATAGAAAAAGATTAATTTTAACCTTTTCTATGGGGAAGGTATAATACATGTGCATTAGGTCATCCCATTGGCTGACTTCAGTGGTTGAAAAGCACTACCAAGCATAAATTAACTTTGGGGATGGAACCAGGTAAGTGAAAGTGTTTATTTTTAATTTATTTTTGTTTCATCCCTTTCATGGATGGGGTCAGTGAGGCAGAGGGACACTTCAGGAATACAAAGATGTTCCTTTAAGGTTGGACATAGGCCATGGTATAGAGTGGTTTTAAACACTCTTGGGAGGGTCTGAAGACTGTATTTTTGCCACCAAGCAATGCCCCTGGCTGACCTTGCCTCTGTCACTCCAAGGAGTAGAGAGGTGAGAAGATGGGTTCTGGTAGAATACTATACTGGCTGATTGTCCTTGGAGTCTACAGGATGCAGAGAGGGTCTGTGCAGACTCTCTTCTTCCCCACACAATTAAACAAAGGAGGCAGCAGATTGCTGGGATATTAACGGACATCTTGGCACATGCTGTCTGTAACCTGCTGCTGGTAGCTAGTATGGGTTACTTTACAGTAAATAACCATTTTTCCTCTCAGCGGTGACTAGGTATTGGACAGAGATTAACTGCTTACTGCCTGGACCTTCTAACCATTCAATGCAGAGCTCATTGGGGCAATGGGCCGGACCTGTCCGAGAACACACACAGGTGGCTGCTTTTCTGATGGGTTAATAAAAGCTCAGGTCTAGTTGACCTTTTCCACTATTTAATGTAGCTTTGTCTCTGGAAGTTGAATATTAATAAGTGCATCTAAGAACTTAATTTATTGGTATATTATATCTTATTCTTTTAAAGTAGTTTTTATTAATGAGATTTTTTTTCAAAATATTATGACAATAAAATATAAACAAATACATCTAAAAGGTGAAATAATATGAATGACAAAATAAAACGAAAAATAATTTTTGTAAAGGCATAGTGATATAGGGTTACTCTTCAAAATCATGGATAGATCAAAAAAGTAGTAATCCTAAGAAGCTAATGTGTTCTAATGGGTAGAATTGCAATAATGAGAATAATCTGTTTAGTTATTAATGTGATGCATCAGACCATTTTAGTGACTTTTTTCAAAGTGTCCAAAAAGCTATGAATAAATTCTTAGGTATTAATACTGCAATTATACTACTTGTACAAAAAAAATGTATGCTTATCAATATACATAATCTAACAACAACAAAAAATTAGAGCGTTTTTTCCTAGTACAGATAAATTTATTTTATGAATGAATACATTTCCGAGTCTGAGACTAGCATTACACTAGTATATGTAGAATTTATGACTGAGACACTTCTAATTTGTCAGAGATTACCTGCATAAGGTGACAATGTGTCCTTCCCACCTGCTTTTAACAGTTGAAATGCATAGTTTGTTCAGACATTCAGCTATTCGTTTCTCCTTCCTTTTGTGGATAACAGTGCTTCACGTTAGCTTGAACAGGGAGCTTTCTTAGTAAGCTTGTGTTATGCACATATTAAACATTAAAGGACCACTCTAGGCAGCCAGACCACTTCAGCTTGATAAAGTGGTCTGGGTGCCTGGTCCAGCTAGGGTTAACCCATTTTTTTATAAACATAGCAGTTTCAGAAAAACTGCTATGTTTATAAATGGGTTAATCCAGCCTCTAAAGCCTCTACTAGTGGCTGTCTCATTGACAGCCGCTAGAGGCGTTTGCGTGCTTCTCACTGTGAAAATCAGTGAGAAGACGCCAGCTTCCATAGGAAAGCATTATGAATGCTTTCCTATGAGACTGGCTGAATGCGCGCGCAGCTCCTGCCGCGCATGCGGATTCAGCCGAAGAGGAGGAAAGGATGAGGAGGTAAGCTCCCCGCCCGGCACTGGAGAAAGGTAAGATTTTAACCCCTTCCTCTCCCCAGAGCCCGGCGGGAGGGGGACCCTGAGGGTGGGGGCACCCTCAGGGCACTATAGTGCCAGGAAAAGGAGTATGTTTTCCTGGCACTATAGTGGTCCTTTCTATGTTGGAATTGTGAGTATTTTATCACCATTATTTTTCTTCTCTAAGCTGTCTGTCCAGTCTGAGTGTAATAGTTCTTTTTTTTTTTTTGGGGGGGAGATATTTCATTTTTTTTTTTTTTTTTTTTTTTCATGTTTATATCATCTTGACTTTTTTTTTTTTTTTTTTTTTTTTATAGGAAACTGGAATAGGGAAAACTGTGAACAGTTTTCGAAAACACTACGATGTGGGAGATATTGCAAGAGGAATTGTTCTTCAATGGAAGAAGCTTGTACCTGATGTTAAAGAACTCCAAGTGTAATTCTAGATGGTTTCTATACAAGAAAAGACACAACAACAAAGGCCCAGTACTAAAGGAAATATCACATAAAGGGATAGTGTTTAAAAAAATCCTATCTTAAAGGAACGCTCCACTGCCAACATACAAAAGTCACTATTTAGAGGATAAAGCCCCAATGAAAACATGCATGCATTTATTTTCAACCCAACCCAGACTTTCTGTGGCTGTCCAACCAGACTTCCCAATGCAGCTCATTGAGAAGTCTTTAAGACAGGTGTTGCCGCTTGAGTTTTGCTGCATCTGTAACTAAAACAATCAGTTGTCTGACAGACGGCGGGTGTAGCAGGATTAATTTACAGAATTGCTAATTTCTATTGAAATCTGGATTTATTGTAAAGTGGAAAAGACAACATTCTATATGCATAAAGCACTTCAGCAACCTAAAAGAGTGTTCCTTTAAATTTTCTCAATTAACCAAAAATGTTGGCTTCCTTGGGTACAGATCTCCTCTGATGTCTTTTATTAGTTGATTGTATTGTTCTCTCACTTACCTGTATTTATAAGGATGATAACTTAAGAGCAGTGTAGATCTGTACCAGAGGAAGAACATATCTGTTTTCTTTAAGCTATTCAAGATTAATTTCTGCAACAATTTTCCCTTTCATAATGTTACATGAATATTTTAATGACTGAAATTAAGGAACCTTTTGATTGCTTTATGAATTAACCAATATTTAGCCATATGGTTCTAGTGACCTTAAATATACAGTCTTCAGCGTTATTTTTTTATTTACGTACTATGTTTTTATGAACAGGCCCTAGACTATATACTAGCTAAGTTAGATTGTATATACACATTTTTACTGTAAGCAGTCTCTGGTAATTTTTTTTTTTGTTTTCCTACTGCATTCAGTGACCAGAAGCCGAAACACAAACACGATAAAGAGGTTTCAGAAGAAAAAAAGATAAATCATCCCGCGTCAAAAGAAAAGCATGTATGTGCAGAAAAAAAATCTTTGCCTGCAGAAGTTGGCAAACACTCAGAGTCCTGTAAAATATCGGAGAATAAAAAGACCCAACAACCTAAAGAGAAATTGGAGAAAAGTTCCAGTAGCAAAAGGCACAACTCTGAAAAATTGAAGGATCACTCTCACTCCAAAGAAAAGAACTCAAAACACTCCTCTGGAGATAAATTGGAAAATAATTCATCCTCTTCCAACCATGCAACAAAGAAAACTTCGCCAAATGATGGTAAAAAATGTGACAAGAACAGTGTGAAACATAAAAGCCACGTAAATGAGCATCATGTTAAGGAGGGCTCTGGAATTCAACATGATGCCAAGCCTAACAATGAAAATGAAAATGAGTTTGATGTACCTACAATGTCCTTTGAATCGTATCTTAATTATGATCAAGTGTCAACTAAACGGAAAAAGAAAAGCTGTCTAAGTGAGCCACCTAAAAAGGTTCAAATTTGCAAGCAGTACTGTAATGCAGCTTCACTGAAGAGTGAAACATCACCTAATCTAGATAACCCTACAAGTGCAGAAACTAAAATGGAGGTAGATGAAGATACTCCAAAGGAGGTAAGCCAGACGTTTAAAGGGACACTTCAAGTTAATTCCGAAATTGAATAGTGAGAGACACGTACATTAGTTGCTGAAAATATGGAATTTCTCCAGTAACCAGTGAATTTCAGCCAATTATTTTCCTTTTACAAAGAAATACTATGCATATTCCAGAAACCCTTACACATGCAATTTATAGGAATATGTAGATCAATAGTTTAGAGTAGTTTTAACTATAGGGAGAAAATCTTGAAAGAATCTATACATAGCTGAGTATTTATTATCCCTGTAAAAGTTGGTAACATTAAATTATGTCTTTGTTATAATTTGTAGTGACTCTCGATTTTGAGCCGGTGTACTTCCATCTTGGGTCTTGTTATGTATTATTGATGTATTAACTCCATGAGGATTGGTGTTATGAGTAGAGTTGAGCAGACACGTGGATGTTCGGGTCCGACAGGTTCGGCTGAACTTTTAAAAAAAGTCCAGATTCGGGCTTGAACTTGACCCCGAACCCAAACCCCATTGAAGTCAATGGGGACCCGAGCTTTTGGCCACAAAAATGGCTCTAACTCCTGGAAAGGGCTAGAGGGCTGCAGAAGGAAGTAAAATGGGGGTTAGAGTAGGACAAGTGCCCTGCAAACAAATGGGGAAATCACTTAAAAATAACATAAAATAAGCAGCCGCTTAGTAGATAACTCCCTAATTCCTACGGTATTAGGGAGCCATCTACCAAAAGGCTGAAAGACCTAAATTGGTCTTTCAGCCACATTTACTAATACTAAGTAAAGATTACTTAGTATTAGTAAATTCAGCCCCTACTCGCTATACCACGAGTAGGGGTGTGTCTAGTAAACAGTGAGCAGCCAGTGGCGGTGGGTGAGCGGTGGGTGGGGGCCATAAATAAAAAATGGGGAGACCTAATTTCCTCCCCCAGGTCCCCACCCCTGAGCGGTGGGTGGGTGGGGGCCATAAATAACAATAAGGGGGGGCCTTAATGTCCTACCCCCCTCACCCTAAAAATAATGAGGGGGGGCATTAACAAAGTACCTGTTAAAGATAAAATACAACTTACCATTTGAAGTTTTCTTTCTTCTAAAATCATCTTTTTTTCAGCCCCGGCCAAATCAAAATCCATAATAACCGATGCACTTAAAAAAACGCAATAAAAAGTGCAAAATTTTTTAATCCATCTTCACCCATGGAGGGCTCCGCGGCAGACTGAGCTCTGCAGGGCGGGGGAAGGCTTATAAAGTCTTGCCCCGCCCTGCAATTAGGCTCAAAGCACTCTGGTGGGTTTAAGCCATCCAATCAGAGTGCTCTGACAGGTAAGTCTCTACATTTACCTGTCACAGCAGTCTGGTTGGCTTGAAATCCACCAATCCGAGTGCTCTGTGTCATTTTACACAGCGTGGGGAAATTCCAAAGAACTTTCCCATGCTGTGTAAAATGACACAGAGCACTCTGGTTACTTAATTCACCAACCAGAGTGCTCTGGAATTTTCCCACACTGTAAACTGACACAGAGCACTCTGGATGGCTTAAACCCACCAATCAGAGTGCTCTGAGCCTAATTGCAGGGCGGGGCAAGGCTTGTAAAGCTGTCTACACGGAGCCCTTCATGGGTGAAGAAGGAATTTATTTATTTATTTTTTTACAGGTATTTAGACAAGGATCCCCCTCATTATTTTTAGGATGAAGGAGGTAGGTAGGGAAAATTGCTTTTTTTTTTTGGGGAGGGGGGTGACTAGGGGTTTGGAGAACCCTAGTCACCGGGGGGGGTTTATTTATGGCCCCCACCTCAGGGGTGGGGGCCGGGGGGGGACATTAGGTCCCCCTCATTGTTATTTAGGCCTCCCCTTTTTGTTATTAGGTCCCCCCATTTTTTATTTATGGCCCCCACCCACCGCTGCGGCTGGGGGAGGACATTAGGTTCCCCCCACCCATTTATTTATGGCCCCTACCCACCGCTCAGGGGTGGGGGTGAGGGGGGAACAATAGGTGCCCCCCCCCTCCCTTATTGGTACTTAGGGCCCCCACCCACCGCTCAGGGGTGGGGGCGGGGGAGGAACATAGGCCCCCCCCCTTAGTTTAAAAGTCCCCCACATGCGCGTTGCAGGTGGGGGCTCAGGAGGGGGGAATGTTTTGTTTTGTTGTTTTTTTTTTTTTTTTTTAAGTGACCAGCCACAGGCTGCTCACTGTTTAATAGACACACCCCTACTCGCGTTATAGTGAGTAGGGGCATAATTTATTAATACTAAGTGACCAGCTTCTATAGAGGCTGGGTCACTTGCTGCACTGGCTATTCTAAGGGCACACGAGAACGCTTGTTGATCGGCTGCTCTGCAGCCTTTCAAAACGTGTCAATAAATCGCCAAACTCCGAACTCCAACCTGAACATACAGTAATATGTAAATGTCCGGGCCCAAAAAACCTAATGTTCGGTACGAACCTGAACTTTTCAGTTCGGGTTCGCTCAACTCTAGTTATGAGAGCACTTTATGGATTTCTTAATTTGTTTATTTTTTTAGTTGGTTGTTGGTTTGACAGTGTGCCATCCATGCTAATGACTTAGGAATTTGTTTCACAATATTCCATATCTGGTATAAATCTGTATGACTGCCCTTGTACAAATGATTGCCAGAAGCATATTCTAATTGCTACATGAAGTTACTCAACTGAAAGTGTGTGTGTGTATAGATATAAAATAAATGGTGATCAGTACTTTTGTCGAATAGTCAAATGTATTAATAATAGTAATAAAGAGCAAGCAATGTGTGTCCTGTGCTTGTTAACGCTTCAAAGAACTGAATTTGTAAACCAGTTTTGTTTCAGTTCAAAGTAAAACATTTGAGACAGTAGTGTTACTAATGCAGTGGTTAGCATAGGCTAAAGGTTAAAACTGTACCCACACTGATCATTTATATGCAGCCTTTTTAATCCATTGTATTAGGCATAACATTAAAATAATGGAACCAAGCATTTAGGTTTTTAATAGTTGTATGAGACCTGGATTGCCATGTGGAAGCAGTTTGTGTTAGAAATTTAGTTGTTTTGTTACAGGTCAAGGTTGGGTCTCTAGCAGACTTGCTGAACATTCCACTACCTAAGTTTTTGCCGGATTATACTATATTGCCTTCACCACCGCATGTTACTGATAATAAAGGTAAGTCAACGATGCACATTAAGAAATCCTATGGCTTTATTTACAATAAAATACTGTTCTTTGAGCGTTTGGGAAAGACAAAGTGCTGATGATTAATTCATAATTTAAAATCTTATTCATGGTTTATTTGCCTGATCTCTTTAGAGGAAGATACACTAAATCATCAGTCAGATATTTGGAGCCAATTGTTGGTGTGTTTAGTTCAATCATTATAGTGACCGCATACTTGGAAACAAGAGGATTGTGCTGCTATTGATATATTTATAGTCTTATAGATATATAGAACTTGAAAATAAATTATTTGTGTGGGGGGTTCTTCAATGGTTTTATGAGAGTTTTTGGGGTGTTGGCATGCTGCCATTAAAAACCATAAGCTGCGTTTGACATTTTAGTCTATCATTGTCCAATTGCTCAACCAGAAGATAACAAAACCTTGTTAAAGCGTACTCTTATGCATGAAGTTTGGATTGCATAGCATGGCAAGGAGGGCTTTACCTATGGCTCGTCAATATCACTGCTGTCCGAGGTTTGGAATGTGTAAATTCTACATGATCAGTGTGACTGCAGAGGGCTGGGCATTGGTGATAGAGCGCTTTGGTTTTTGTCAAGCTGTCACAGGTTTTTTTCCATACTGACAATTACTCAGAAATGGTATGACCGGATACTAGGGTACAACACCCATAAACTTATTGTACTGTAACAAAAGCAGTTTGGTGTCCTTTTTAATGGTATTCAGAAAACCAGAAAACTTGGTGTTAATATGAATGTCATGGACTCTTGTGAAACGCTTCTTATGCGCCCCAATAAGGCACAAAGCTGAACTGAAAAATGTATTCTAAAAACTAAATGTTAATACGACTCCACTTGCTGAAGGGATTTATGGGTAAGGAGTATTCAATTGAAGTCGCTTGATAAAAGTGCTGATTTCTGTGAGAAATCAGAACTTTTACCTTAAAACAGTGACACCCCACTTTGATTGGTAATCTAGCACCCAGGGAGCTTTGCTTTCTGCCTCCATTAGCTGACCTGACTCTAGCACGCCTGCCTTCATTCAAATTCCTTCTCCTAGACCGCTAAACTCCATGCATGGAGGGATAGTTCTGAATGAGAAGCCTCCGGTTATATCCACATGAAGAGCTTGAAAGTTGCTTTTGATGCAAAAATGGGAGGTCTTGCAAAGACTGCAGCTTATTGCAAGCTCTTAAAAAATATGCCCCCAATGAATACATGTATGAAAACCTGTGCACTGTGAAGTGTTCCTTTAAGCTATTCAATCTAGTGAAATATACAAATGTATCGGGGGGGGGGGGAGAACTCTTCTGACGCATTACCTTGGCAAATCTCTTAAATTTTAATTTCAGTTTTTATGACAACCAAATAATCACATATTATTTCCTCCTTCTGGGCAAATGATTATTAAAGACTCCCTAGAGACATTTTTACTTATCCGGTACAAAATATTTTTTTGACTTTGTGACTGTAAAAACAAATTACATTCAGTTTGTCGCGGATCTCCCATTTACCTCTGATTATCGGATTAAATGATTCCAACCAACTGACTGGTAGATTTTCCCAAATGCATTAATATTTGCACTGCAATACATACACAATGCTTTTAAATAAAAGTAAAACATAACCTAAAAAAAATAGATATTCTCTTATGTGACTCAAAGGAATAGAATGCTAACTAGCAGGTATAACTGTACCAAATTATTGTCTGCATTGCAGTGCTTTATTGGCACAGTAGATGTTACTGTCAATTGTCAGGTTTTTATTGTAAGAAGTCGATTGTCAAACTGCAAATTCCAAAAAGCTTTGAAATCCTCAGCAGTAGTGGTATAGAAGCAAAACCACTAAACAGTACAGATGGTGTAGACACCGAAAAGTTGAGGTTAAGGAGCAAATATATTTTTAAACTAAAGATTAAACCCCATAATAATCCATTGTTCCGCGGTTCATTGGCTTTACTAAGACAAAATTTAAGATAACAAGTATATTTTTTTCTTTTTTTTTTTTTTTCTTTTAGCAAACATTATTGAAGGACTGCCTGACCCAGGAAGTGAATCAAGTGGCTTTACTGGCCGCAGATTAAATTCAAAGATGCTGGTTTACTCTGGTTCTAAAACAATTTATCTCCCAAAGATGCTTACATTATATGAGCAATGTATACGCGTCCTCCAAAATAATATTGACTGTAAGTATTCTGCTATATAACTTTACAAGATAAAACCTTTGAAGGTACACTATAGAGTTAGGCATACAAATGTGTATTCCTAATGCTATAGTGCCCTAATTAGTTTGTGACCGGGTTAAAAAGTTGATTTTACTTACCTCTTCTCCCTCTAAGCACTGGTCTCCTCGGCTTTAATTGAGACTGATCTCAGCCAAGTAGTGATAGCCCACAGGGAATAAATGAGGCTAGAGTGGCAAAATGGCCAGTCAGATGTACAAAAAAATTAAACTTAAATAAAATCGGCCTTTAATATTCTACATCTATAATTAAAATTACTCCTCAAAAAAACTTCAATTTAGATGGGTATAGCCTGTCATGCAGAAAGATCCAACAAAAAGAAAATGGGGTAAATACAATACTGTGCAGTCTAATCCATGTTCTAATCAAAGGGGAAGCTCAAACTGGCATTGTCCCCATAAAAAAAGAGAAAAATACAGTTATAAATCTAGGCACGGGTTTCCCCAGTATCCTTCCAGTTAACTCTCCCAGGCTTCCCTTTGGTATTTGTCGAAATGCCAATCAGATGGTCTCTGATTGAAATAGTGGAGTTTTACTACACGATTTCGGCAGAAACGCTTCTCTAGAGGCAGGTTAACCCTGAAATGAAAATGTTGTTGGTCCTGATGAAGTGGTCTAATTGCCAATAATTGCAAAGTGTAGCATACTGTTCTGTAACTGCATGTGTAGAGAAACCCAAGCGGGCTAAACATTTCATGAACTTCGGGTGGGGGCCCTAAAGTACAATAAGGGGGGAACTTATTGTCCTCACCCCCCCTGGCCCCACCCATGAGCGGCATGGGGGGAGACCTATTGTACTTGGGGGCAAAGAGGGAGGACAACAATTGGGCCCCTACCCGCCGTTCATGGTTGGGGGCCGGGGGGGGGGGGGAGTTAGGGGCCCCCACCTGCATGCATTCCTCCCTTTTTTAATTTTTCGCACCACTTCTTAGACCAAAACTATTTGTTACATATCCCCTTTTAAAAAAATATAGAAGTACGTGTGTGTACGTGTATTTATAATGTACTTTAAATGGGAATTTGTGGATATGTGTAAGTCTCATATATTTTTTTCATTTCTTTTAATTGCTACAGGTTCTTTTAATTCAGTGTATGAATGAGATTTTAAGTAAGAGTTATTTGATGTAAAGTGTTGTGAAAATCCTGTAGAGGGGAAAAGTCATGTAACTATAGGTCATTTATGACCAATTTTCAAATGGAGTAGGAGGGATTTTTAATTTTTTTTAACTGAAATTTATCTTGCCATTTTAGCCATTCAAGAGGTTGGAGGTGTACCATTTGGAATCCTTATGCCTGTTCTTGAGCGCTGTACTCCAGAACAGCTAAGCCACATCGAAGAATGTAATCCGGTATGCAATATTTTCCATTTTGATTTAATGTTTGCCTTCGTAAAAGCAACATGTAGATTTTAGCAAGAAAATCCACATTAGTTTATTTCCTGGTTTTATTTTTCTTTTTGGTCTCTTTTTCAGCTTATTGTCTAATTTACTGTAAAATATTGTATGAAGAGCTAGAAAGAGCTAAAGCAAATCTTTTTTTACATTAAGTTTCTTTGCATTGCATTGTATTGTGTGCTTATCATTCCTTTCAAACAATTTCTAAACTATCCATTGTTAATTGGGGTACACCTCTCCTTCTCCCTTTTCTGCCATTTCCAAGACATTTATTGAGGATTCTGGACACTTGTGGAAGAAGCACTGTCAACGGGACTTTAAAGGCCATGAACTGCTGGAGTATGAGTCATGGCGTGAGATGTATATTAGACTCTTCACCGAAAGAGAAGAAAAATTAAGGCTGATCACTCAAAATATTAGCTCTGCTCATTCTGGAAAACCAAAAGGTATATACATTGACATGTTTTTTTTTTCATATTTTGTATTTATGGATTATTCTGCTATAACAGAGGTAGAGTCCAACCTGTAGAGGGACATACGGTCTTCAATCTACTTAGCGTCGAAGGGACTTGGTCTTCTTTATGTGAACGAACAGGTGTGCATTAGGCAAGTACATACCTGAAATGGTGAGGGATCTCAAGGTATTTTTCCTTGTTTAAAAAAACAAACAAACCTACAAAGAGATAAATATTATAGAAAGTAATAAACAATCTGACTTATCTACTCTTAACCAGTTGGTCTCGATCAATGTCAAGTGCCAGCTCCCCCAAAAAGTAAAATCAGCATTTTGCAATGCAATTTATATGCCCTAGATGTGTAATAAATGCAACAAAATCATAATGTAAACGTTAATTCAAGGCCCAGCAAATGATTAAAAAAAAAAAAAACAGCGCTCCAAATTGTCTGTTTTGAGGGGTTTCCTTTAAATGTGCAGTTTAAACACTGATGGGTAAGTGACAGTTAACCAGCTGCATGTTTTTTTTTCCCTAAGATGTGGATTTCTACTTGCCTTAAAGGAAATCTACAGCGTTAGGATATACAGGTTTGTATTAATAATGCTAGTGTCCCTGTCCCTGCTATATACAGGTGTCTTCCCCTCAATGTGCCTAAAAAGTAATACAATCTAAGTATTACCTTTGCTCTGCTCAGCTCCAACTCACATTCATTTTTGCATCTTTAACCCATTAAGGACACAACTTCTGGAATAAAAGGGAATCATGACAGAATATTCCCGTCATGTGTCCTTAAGGGGTTAAATGTTCAATGTATTCTTCAAAATCCATTGTTACACTGGTTATTTCCTTTTTCTTTTTATTTCTACACTTTCAACTTCTCCTCTTGCCGAGCATGCAGTTGCTGAGGCGTATACAAAGTTCTCATATTCCCATTTGGGTTAAAACTTGTGATGTCACAATTTGAGGTCAGAAGCAGTTGGCACTGATTCAAGAAGATGGTGGTCTCAAGTGACAAAAGGGTCTACCTCTACCTTCCTTAAATGGACATCTTGGGCTTTGATTGGTTAAGGCTGAAATATACAATCTGTATTTGTCTTGTATGTACTTTAATTTCTGACATAAGGATGTCCTTGTGTATATAATAGAATATAAATTCTAGACATTTTAATATTTTACAAGGTTTCCTGGAAGACTCCAAAACGTACTTGCCACATTTCTTGTAAAGTGTGTGGTTTTCAATGTTTATAAATACTGCCTAAACTGATTCTTGCCCATTTTGGATAACAAAAAATGTGAAAGGCTTACCGGGACATGCTATTCCATGTGAGGTAGACCTGCTGGGGATGATCTGAAAAAAGTATTTCACAAGGTGGTTTTTAAAAAAAATATATATTTAAGATTGCCCCCATACGTGAACTGTCAGGAACTTGGCAAGCTAATTAACAAAATAGTTAAAGCAGTAATTGCATAGAACTGACCAGGCAATTGTACATTTTAGACCACAATGAGGTGGAAAATATTGGTGAACATCTCACAATTTTCAGGTTTTTCAGTGTGATTTTTTTTTTTTTTGGAAAGTTTGACAATGCACATATCAAAACATTTCATATGCTTGCCCAGATGGTAGCAAGTAAGAAGTAATTAAGAGTTTAGTCATTAAGACTTTTTACCAGTTTTTATTTTCACTTCACTTAAATCTGTTGGAAAGCACATGGCACCACAATATCATTTCTTGTTATGTCCAATGTTGGCAGCACCCTACACTATATTCCTACAATATTTACAGACCCCACCTGAAGTAATGATTCCTCCTTGGACACGTGCAGGTTTGCACCAGCTGTTAGATCTTGTGTCCCCTGCCTCGTGTATATTTCCCCAGTGATGACCTCTTGTAAATTCGGTTCTGACAGTCGTATTTCCAAGCAAGAGCCTAAAATGAAGAATCAATTGTGGTTTTTTTGAGTCACTAAGCACTTTGAGTTTTTTTTTTCCTGAACCCCTATGCCATGATTCTGCTAATAGTGTCACAGGTCCATGCTTGCTGCTATAGTCTTGTGGTATTTAATATTTCACCTTCTATGCAAATCTATGCGATTAGAGTAAACTCTGAGATTCAGGGTTGTGATCACTGAGAATTCCCAAATAGACTATAAGCATTACATAAGGCCACTACTTTGTTAGCAATTTTAAGTTATGCCTGTAGCAGGACTTTTAGCTTTACACCAGGTCCAGGACCAGCTTAACATAGGTGCTTTTGTAACTGAAGCCTATTGCAACATGTGGACCTGTAGCTTAACAGCCTGACTGTATTTTTGAGATTGTCTCCGGTTTTGAATTGCTCAGTGCATTATTCATATTGTGGCCAGGTTGGTATCCATATCAATTTGTCCTGGCTGAGCAACATGGGAATTCCCTTCCATAACACATGAAATGTACATTTGCACTGTATATGTATTTGTATCTGGCTTAGGAGAGGTCTATCCCCACAGCCTACCTGTGGTATCTATCTTAAAACTCACCATGTGTAACATGATTGCAGATTGACATAGATGATTAAAATTATTCAGCATTAGAAACCATTATGTGGGCCTCTTAAAATTCAAACTTTCAAGTTTAAAAAGAGAATGACAAATGCGTTAACCTGTCTCATAAGACTTAAACCCCTTTTTTCTAAATGTTTCTCTTAGGTCGACAGGTAAAACTTGCTTATATTCATAGTGCAGCAAAACCTCCACGGTACATTCGTCGTAAGCAAGAGATCAATGGGACAGCTGGACCGATTATACAGCCTCATCCAATGGATAAGTTCAAGTAAGTAATCGTTCGTGTTTGGCAAATGTGCCTTTCCACAAAGGCAGATCAGTTTCTTGCACTCCTCTAACCAACAGGTGTTATTTAAGCACATTGGTGGCATGTAGGCAGGGCCAGTGCAAGGATTTTTGGGTACACAGGCGAAGATGGTTTAGGCGCCTCGGCCCCCTCCTCCCCCACGAAAAAGAATCTGCAGCGGTGTGCCTCTTAACCCGCCTTTTATTTCTTATCCCCTTTTTAAAATCTTACCACCTTTAGTGTGTTATGCCCTATTTTTCAAAATTGTCTTACATCTCCCTTGTGTATCTCTTACAATCCCCCTTTGTGTGTCGAACTCACCCCAGCCCCTCTGTGTCTTTTTCCTCTTCTTCAGACCCTCTGTCTTTCACCCCCATCCCCCTCTGTACATCTTTCTCACCCCAGGCCCATCTGTGTGTCTTTCTCCCCCCTCTTGTCTCTGTCTTTCTCCCCACTCAGTCCCCCCTTTTAGCCACTCTCCCCTCGGCCATTAGTGTTCCTCTCCTCTCCCCTCCTTGTCCCTTAGTGTTCCTCTCCCTTCCCCATCCCTTATTGGTCCTCTGCCTTGTCCTTTAGTGCTCCTCTCTTGTCTCTGTGTGTCTTTCTCGCCACTCTCCCCTCTGTCCATTAGTGTTCCTCTCCCATCCCCTCCTTGTCCCTTAGTGTTCCTCTCCCTTCCCCATCCCTTATTGGTCCTCTTCCTTGTCCCTAAGTGCTCCTCTCTCCCCCCCTTATATGTCTTAGTGTCCCCCCTTAGTCTTCTTCTCCCATCCCTTACCTCTTTTAGTGCCCCCCATATTTCTTAGTGTTCCTTTTCCCTTCTCTCCCCTGTCCCTTAGTGTCCCCTCCATCCCTTAGTGTTCCTCTCTCTCTCTCCCTTAGTGGCCCACTCCCCTCACTCCCTGGTGTACCTTTTTTTTGTAGTGTGGCTGAGCAGAGCAGATGGAGGTACAGGAGCTTCAGTTTCCTGTACCTGGACAGACTGACAGGAAGTGCTCTCAGTGAGCACTTCCTACAAGTCCGGCCGGGTACAGAAAACAGAAGCTCCTGTACCGCCATCTGCTCAGCCAAGCTACTCAGAAGGACTGTCTAGTAGGGGGTGCACTGTGCGGTTCCCTCCTACGGATCACTCTAATCTAGCGTCCCCGGGCCGGTGCAACCTAAGACACTGTAACGCCTAATGGACGCACCAGCCCTGCATATAGGCAGACCTAGCCCAAAACCTTGTTCTGCCTGGATCCAAGTATAAAATGCTACCTCCTCCCCCTTCCCCTCCCCCCGCCACAATCACTGGACATCCATTAAGTTATACAGTATGTGTAGTGAATGTAGTGTATGTGTAGGATATGCAGTGTGTTGTATGCTGTGTGTATAGTGGATGCAGAGTGTTTTTGTAGTCAGTGCAGTGTGTTGTATGCATTTGTGTGTTAGTGTCTGTGGGGGAAGTTTATAATTCTTTGTTTTTTAATATAATTATGGACACTAGATTCCCTGTTGGTCCGGTGTCACTGCATGCTCGTCCTGTGAAGAGGGGCCGGGGAGTCTAATCTTCCCTTCCAGCAAAATCTGCTCCTCTTGCGTTATGGCACTGTTCTGTGCGGTGCACACAGCATGCTGGAGCATTGCCATGACAACCTGTGGCAACGCTCTCATGGCTCACAAGACGAAAAAAGCGGATTGTGCTGGAGGGTAAGATTAGACTCCCAGGCCCCCACTTCACAGGACAAACTTGCAGGGACCATAATACAGCCCGGGCCCCACAGCAGGCTGGTTAAAGTGTGCAGAGGTGGCAAAATGCTTCCACTGTCAAAGTGCTGTTTGAAACCATGGCCCCATCAGGACCTATGGACAGGCTGGCCCTACGTATGTGTATTTAGTGTTGCTATTTTCTATATTTTTATTAAGGATGGTTTAAGAAGTGCTTTCTTTTAATTTTGATGGTGAGATTCACATTGCATGGCGACTCATGTTAAGGTTGTTGTCAGATTATTATTTTTAATCCTTTTAAAATTTAGGAAGATTTTTCAAAGTGTCATCAACACTTTTCTATTCAACTTTTGGCAATTTATTTTATTTTGAAAGTAGAAAATCCACAGGTTCAACAGGATGGGTACTTCAAATAAGATTTACTTTAAACCGGAACACAAATATACAACGTTTCAGTATCAAACCATAATCATGTATAACAGGAACAGGGAATATCACATAATATATACACCCTGTTCCAAATTATGCAAATTATATTTAAGTGTCACAAAGATTAAATATTTTGTTTTTCAGTTTAACTCATGGATGGCATTGTGGGCTCTTTTGATCACTGAAAACAATCTCGGACACCTGTGATAATTAGATTGCCAGGTGAGCCCAATTTAAGGAAAAACTACTAAAGGAGGGTGTCCCACATTATTAAGCATAGCACCATTTTCATGCAATATGGGGAATAAAAAGGATCTCTCTGCTGCCGAAAAGAGTGAAATAGTTCAATGCTATAGGTATGAAAACATTAGATATTTCACGAAAACTTAAGAGTGATCATCACACTATTAATCATTTGTGGCTGATTCAGAGCACAGACTGGCATGATAAAGGCACATTGAGGAAGATTTCTGCCAGATGCATGCATCGGATCAAGAGAGCAGCAGCTAAAATACCATTACATGGCAGCAAACAGATATTTGAAGCTGGTGCATCTGGAGTCCCATGGACATCGAGGTGTAGAGTCCTCCAGAGTCTTGCAACTGTGCATAAACCTTCTATTCTGCCACCACTAACCAATGCTCACAAGCAGAAACTGCTGCATTGGGCAGAAAAATAAATGAAGACTAATTTTCACAGTCCTGTTCACTGATGAGTGCTGTGCAACCTGGAATGGTCCAGATGGATGGAGTAGTGGATGGTTGGTGGACGGCCACCCTGTTCCAACAAGGCTGCGACATCAGCAAGGCGGTGGTGGAGTCATGTTTTGGGCCGGAATCATGGGAAGAGAGCTGGTCGGCCCCTTTAGGGTCCCCGAAGGTGTAAAGATGACCTCTGCAAAGTATGTGGAGTTTCTGACTGACCACTTTCTTCCCTCGTACAGAAGGAAGAACTATGCTTTCCGTAATAAAATCATCTTCATGCATGACAATGCACCATCTCATGCTGCAAAGAAGAGAGCTGGTTTCTGGCTGCTATGGGGATTAAAAGAGAGAAAGTTATGGTGTGGCCTCCATCCTATTGAGAACCTTTGGAGCATCCTCAAGCAAAAGATCCATGAGGTTGGGAGGCAGTTTACATCAAAACAGCAGCTCTGGGAGGCTATTCTGACCTCTTGCAAACAAATTTAAGCAGAAACTGTCCAAAAACTCACAAGTTCAATGGATTCAAGACTTGTGAAGCTGCTATCAAATAAGGGGTCCTATCTCATGCTGCAAAGAAGAGAGCTGGTTTCTGGCTGCTATGGGGATTAAAAGAGAGAAAGTTATGGTGTGGCCTCCATCCTATTGAGAACCTTTGGAGCATCCTCAAGCAAAAGATCTATGAGGTTGGGAGGCAGTTTACATCAAAACAGCAGCTCTGGGAGGCTATTCTGACATCTTGCAAACAAATTCAAGCAGAAACTGTCCAAAAACTCACAAGTTCAATGAATGCAAGACTTGTGAAGCTGCTATCAAATAAAATGTTAAAATGTTTAAAAAGTTAAAATGTTATATGTTTGATTGAAATAGCTTTTGATTTCGGTAAACATGCTGCAAACACAACAAATGACAATTTTCAGTTCTTTACAACCTATAAAGTGTTTTGAAACTTACAATGCACTGTTCCAAATTATTACGCAGAGTAAGTTTATGTTTAAAAAAAAAATACTGTTCTCATTAGGTTTGTTCAATAAAATTTGAATTGTACTCTTAATAGTTGATAACATGAGAAATATGACTGTTCTTTACATCATTATTTAGGTAAGTGAGAAAAATATCATTTGCATAATAATTTGGAACAGGGTGTACAGGCATTAAACACGCAAAAAGCAAGACACCTCTAAAGAGTGTGTATAGTAACAAGGGTAATCAAAATGTGTATGCAATGTATATAACAATATACTTATTACCTTATAGCAAAAGGTATCAATATATTTAAAACCAGTATATTGGAATAGCAGGACAGAAAAAAAGATGGTATATTGTAGCGGAGCTCCGTGTACCCCGGCTAGGTACCTCCGCCAAGGACAGCTTCATAGCTTAAACCGCTTGACTGGGGTACTCATGGAGCCTCTTCATCTATTTCCTCCCAGGGACTGGATGACACACAGTCCTAGTAGTTCTAGTCCTTACGACTGAAAACAAGGTGCTGAGTTGTGAATACTCCTTCCCCTCCCACTAACTGGATGACACACAGTCCTGAGAGTACAATAGATTTTAATGAGCCAAACTCTGCCTTTTATGCACATACCGCAGCAGCTTCCATTGTATTCAACACAAGCCCCTCCCAGGTATCTCTGCGTCTGAGAGATAGTTGCTTTAAAGATCAGTAAGCTAATTATCTCCCAGGAACAGAGAGCCAAACACAAAAATATAAAAACAACCCCACAAAGACAAACCCCAAATAGCCCTAATCTGAGTACCCAAGTTCTCCAAATAGCGCTAAGACCCATGCAGTGTTGGGGAAACGCCACCATGTTAAAGTTTTGACCGGCCACACATGTTGTCCTATGACCAAAATTGTTCCAGAGCATTTGGTGCTTTTGTCGGTCAACTTTTTGAAACTCCAGCGGCCGCAATACGGGGTGCTCCTCCTGGCTCTCAGGTAGTGTTTTTTTCCCCTGGTCTCATCATCTTCCCTCCAAAAAACGCTCTCCCGGCGGGTAGCAAAGTGGCTAAAAACACCAGACCAAGTTGTCTGGGAACTGCACGGTCACCTCATGCTGAATACAGTTCCATAACATTCACGGCTAAGTCCCACTGACGTGACCGGTAACCCACAAAGTCCTCATGCCAAAATTAGTTCCTGAGCGGTCAAGGCAAAGTACCTCTCGGACTATTCGTGGGTTTGCTAATACATACAAAGCCGTTATGGTTGTCACCCCCTGATGGCACTGGTGGCCACCATCCCCGGAATTCTGCCCTTCCCAATGGCAGCTACTTTGTCTGTTGGCCTCCGTTATCCTTAGTTTCCTCTTACGTCTGGGTTGCCCTGTGCCCATTGTAGGTTCAGGGTGTTTATTATTGTGGTGCTTGGAAGTGGAATGTGTTGCTTGATCTTCTGTCCTGATGGTGCCTTGTACCAACTCTGTAGATTTGGCTGTAGGTCCTGTGCAGTGCCATTCAGGTAGATTTGCATATTATGACCAAAGCAGGCAGAAGACTTATTTCTTGTCAGTGTTTGTCTTCCCTACTCTTTTATGAATATTTTGTGTTGTAACCGCTGCTAGTTCCCCTATTTACCACTATAATGTCTTAAAGCATAGAATTTAGCAGGGCTAACAATACAGATATTTTGGCTGTAGTATTAAATAGTTAGCAAGAGATCCTCTATTTAAAATATATAAATTGCGAATACAATAAAAACAGGGATATTCTTGGAAGCAATAAAGTTTTGAATTTTAAAATATTTTATTAAATAAAAATATAAATAGACTTATGAAAATGTAGTAATCCATTACAAATATGTATAGCAGAGTTTATAAGATTAAAGTATAGATTTGCAATATCTGTAAAATATAACTTACCCTCTTGAACATCAACCTCTTAGTCATGATAAAATGGAGCAGCGTCTCTGCATCCAAAATTCTTTCCAGTGTCCAAATATTAATAGGTACACCTATTTATACCTTCGATTTTCAGTTGGGTCATGTTAGGACCTACCTTGGCAAAGATACAAGGCTATAACTTCCATAATTTCTAATGGGAACATCTGTCTATTGTCGTGACCTAAACATCTTGGGGAAGATAATCGGTTAATCAAAATGTTCTTTTAATGGTGTTTCCTAAAATAGAGAAACTGATATAGGCTTTTACAGATCCCATAGATTTTTTTGGATCACCTTACTAAGGAAGGGGGGAGGGGGTTGTGTTGAGATGATGGGGTGCAGTGTTTGGGGGGGGGGGCGGTGGAGAGACTGATGGCAAGGAAAAACAGTAAATTGAATCATGTATACCTTGCAAAAAATCTTCTCTAACTCAGGCAGCACAAACAAGGGTAAAATATTCCATGTGAACAAATATAAGTTTCTATTTAACTCCTCTGCATACTTTATCCCCATATCACACTATGGCCTAAATTTAATAAGCTTTACAAATTATTCCATTATGTTAGAAAAACCTTTAAAAGGTTTATCTACAGATGTCACCATTAAAGCATAGGGATTTTTTTTTTGGATAAATAGTTTGAAAAGTTTTTTCTTAGATCAAGGCCTGTGTTTTCTCCTTTTTAACAAAATGTATTTGTCTTAGGTTCTATAGAATTTTTCATGGCAATCTATAGTAAACAGTTATAAGACAAAACCAGATGTAGATTGTGTAATTTACTCAAAAAAATTTGCCAAAAAACACACAATGAATACTTACATGCCATTGTACATATTTTAAATTAAGATGCCTGCGGCTGCCATAACGAACACACATACAAAGCCATTTTGGTTTACCTGGTAGAGTACAAAACTATTTTAGTTGTGTAACCAAAGCATGAATGTCCTGACATTTCCAGATTGTGTTTCATAAAAGACCTGTTGCTGTCAGTCACATTGGTATGTGTCTCAATGACGCACTTTACCATGAATTTAATTATTTTAAGTTTGTCACACTTGTCGAAGCCCTTTTTAGTTTTCCATGTTTAAAGAAATCTATTGACCTCCAATAACCAAGATTTACCATTTCCTTCCTCATAAACCCAAATAATTCTGTCTCTGCACTGAGTATTTACCTTTATTGCACTATAAAATAGTGATTGGAACTGACCCTCCTGGGTACAATAGTGGTTAACTTTCCTATGTAGGTCCATTCACTGAGTCCATATTGAATATATATATATATTGCACTTAGCTGGGATTCTATATAGCTCAAGGACAGAGAGAGACTGTATCAGACTTCTTGCAGTGTGTTCTCCTGGGAAGAGTGGAAGTTTTCATTTAAATTAGGAGTGTAAGATGATATTCCTGCTTGTCATCCTTCTAATTTTAATTCAATGCAATGATTAGACATTCTACATTTGTATATGAGCATTGAGGCAATGCCCACCATTAAACCTGTCCTTGAAATGTTGATATATATTCCTCTAAGTGTTAAAATCTTTCATTAGAGCATGACATGGTGAAAGTCAAAGTACATTTGGTTTCTTTCTAAATTAAGCTGGGCTTTGTATAATACCACTTCTTGTTTTTATTTATTCTCAAATATACAGGGATGTTAAGTGTGCCAAGTGATATAGCTACCTGGGGAGACTCCACCAACCTGAATGTTTATAAATGTTTTAAAATATTAGATCTGTTCTTACCCTATGTTTTTCGGTCTGCAGATTTAGTCCTAGTGGTACCTTGGAATATTTTGGTGCCGTAAAACAAATACTAACAGAGAAATGGCTGAGATTTGTGCACAACCTGGTTGCTTTATTTATAAAGCACCAACAAATTCCGCAGCGCTGTACAATGGGTGGACTAACAGACATGTATTTGTAACCAGACTAGCTGGACAAACCGGAATGGAGGGATTGAGGGCCTTGCTCAATGAGCTTACATGCTAGAGGGAGTGGGGTATAGAGTTTACCAAGGGAGGCAATGTAGATTGGGAACAATAGGGGACCATTAAAAAATGGTATATAATCTAATTTTTTTCTTCATTTTTTAAATATATATGTCTGTGTCTCATCCTTTTTTTATATTTATAGATATAGATAGATATATAGATAGATATATAGATAGATAGATATATAGATAGATAGATATATAGATAGATATAGATATATAGATAGATATAGATATATAGATAGATATAGATATATAGATAGATATATATATCTATATCTCGAAATACCCCCTCCCAAAAAAATACTATTTGCAAAATATTGCCTTTTTAGAAGTAACTTTGTCTACAAATGTGGTGATTTCAAAGCACAGCCTGCCATGTAATCCAACTACACAAACTTGTATTTTCTTTGTGTGTAAGATTACCATGTGAAGATATATGAACGCACAAAATGTGTACAGCATCATGGATAAGAGGTGTGACATACAAGCATGCACAACCACGATCTACGCCTAGAAGTTATCTGATCACACGATTGCAGGGGACGTTTTGAGAAACTCCATCCATATCCAGAAGGGCTCTGAAGTTGCTTTGTACAATTTATTGAGTATTAAATACAAACACTTTGCTATATCAAAAAGGCTTTGTCTTGATGTGCGTTAGGGTTGTCATGTTACTTGTCACGGAAAGTGTTAAGTGTAGTTTGTTGTCATGCCTGACTGCTGTATTTGGGAACAGTGTTACTGCTGATAGATCTCTTGGCTACAAGGTAGGCATGTTCTAATCTAGACTTCAAGAATTGGATCTAGATGATGGGATATGGACCTTGGAGTTGAATTGTGAAGAGTCATGGTGTACACACTTTGTAATATGGCTATTCTGTTTTTCTGTAGCAGAACATCTTTTTGATTTTTCCAAAGTATGTAACAGATGGGGGTAAGAAATAAATGTCAAGTGTAAATTAAGATTAGCGCTGATATGAGGATTCTAGATCCAGTTTGGCATGCACAGGGGAACAGGAGATTAACGGTAATGTTTGGGAAAGCTGATTTGACAGATGGCAAGGGATGGCTTGCTCTAGCTCTGTGAGGATGCTCTGTTATGTTCTATGAAGACAACCTAGAGAATTCAGTGTACATTTATTGCATGTGGTGTGTGTGTGTGTGTGTATATGTATGTATGTGTGTGTGTGTGCATATATTCAAAGCACCCTAACCACTACAGTGGATATGGTGCCAGGAGTGCTGGTCTTCTTTTCAGAGTAAGAAATCAAGCTATTTGAAAATGGCTTGACACCTCGGTGCCTGAGACTGCAGCCCTGCTTTATTATCTCTGCTATGCTAAGCAAGGCTGCAAATATTTATTTACTCTGAGCTAGAAGCATAAGATTAAAGGAACTGATTTATTTTTTTTCTTTAGGGTACAAAAAAATGAAAACAAGGACAGAGCAATTCCAGTAAATATTCAAAATTCATCAACAACTGCTTGTGTGATTCATAGTAATAATCCTTCATCTGGACCAAGTCAAGATCCCAAAAAAGTTGTGAAAAGTAAGCATGACTCTTGTACCTTTGTACCTGTATGTGCTTTAAAAATGCATTTCAGATATAAACACCTAATTCTTCACAAAAACTAGGGATTATTCTAGCTCTAGTGAACGAATAATCAAAATTTCATTAACCCCTGCGTGACCAGACCACTTTTACATTTTCTTACCGTTGGGGACCCGGGCTGTTTTTACATTTCTGCAGTGTTTGTGTTTAGCTGTAATTTTCCTTACTTATTTACTGTACCCACACATTATAGATCATTTTTCTCGCCACTAAATGGTCTTTCTAAAGATACCATTATTTTCATCATAATTTACTATAAATTTTTTTATAAAATGATATTAATAAAAACACACTTTTTCTAACTTTAACCCCCAAAATCTGTTGCGCATCTACAACTGCCAAAAAACATCCATGCTAAATGGTTTCTAAATTTTGTCTTGAGTTTATAGGACAATAAGTACAAGTAACACTTTGCTATTTCCAAACCATTTTTTTCCCCCAAAATGAACGCGTTACATTGTAACACTGATGTCTGTCAGGAATCCCTGAATAACCCTTAATGTGTGTGTATGTATAATTTTTTTTGTTTTTTCTTTTAAAGACAACCTAAGGTACTAAACTTGGGGTACATTTCATGCAACTATTTTACCACCAATCTATGCCAAATTTGAAAAAAAAAATTCTATAATTTTCTTGACACATATAGCAATTTAAGAATACATGTACAGAGAACTTTAAGGGTTACTGCCAAAGAACACCCCAATATGTGTTCAGCAACATCTCCAGAGTACAGTGATACAACCCATGTATAGGCATGTTGGATTCTCTGGGGGCTAAAAGACCTTATTTGGAGGGTGCGCATTCCAGTTTTCCAACTTGGAATTTTCACAGCTGATCATCATGCACCCATGTCTTATTTGGGACATTTTTTTAAGCCGGCTAATTTACCCCCCCCCCCTCAAACAATATATTTTGCACATAGAAATTTGCCAGATTGCTTTGCTTTGAGACCATATGGTAGCCCAGGAATGAAAAGTAACCCTATCATGGCATACCATTTGAAAAAGTAGACAACTGTATTCAAAATGGGTTATGTCCAGTCTTTTTTAGTAGCCACTTAGTCACAAACACTGGCCAAAATTAGTGTTTATATTTGTGGGGTTTTTTTTTTTTTGCATTTTTCACACACAAACTTCCATTTCACCAATTATATTATCAGTATAATAGATTTTACTGCTCTAAAACTTTTATATTTGTATAGAGTAATGTCTCACGAGTACAACAGTACCCCTCAAGTACAGGTTTTATGGTGATTTGGAAAGTTATAGGGTCAAACATAAGATATGCCAATTTCTGTTTTTGTAAATTGCTATTTGCCAGATTGGCTATGTTGAATTTGCGACGGTACGGCAGCCCAGAAGTGAAAATTAACCCCACCATGACACACCATTTGAAAAAGTGGACAACCCAGGGTATTCAAAATGGGGTATGTCCAGGCTTTTGTAGTAGTTACTTAGCCACAAACGCTTGCCAAAGTTTTTCATATTTGTTTTTTACATTTTTTTTATTTATTTTTTTACACAAACTGCACTTTTAATGGTAATTTCGTCCTGATAAGTTTTACTTTTTAAAAACTCATATTTGTGTTGAGCGAAGTCTCCCGAGTATAACAATACCCCCCATGTAAAGATTTTATGGTGTTTTTAGAATGTTACAGGGTTAAATATAGGGCTTGCCAATTAAATTCTACGGACTGTCTTCCTGAGTTGTCAGGCAGGTCCCTCAAATTATAATTAATAAAATCTAATAATTATGTAGTTAATAGTTAAAAAATAGTTAAATATAATAAGTATATGTTAAACAAAAAGCTGCACACCAGTCAAGCCGTAAAACTTGCTTTTCCCACAAAAATCACAAATCTGCGGTGATGTTACTACCGCAAAGGATTCTGGGTCGGCATATGCAAGTTAGTTTAACAAAGAATCACATTTTTGCCTCCTTCCATTTTAAACATGGATTCCTTTGAGTCTGTGTTTGCTGTATACAACAGCTTTGAAACACAACTTAGGAAAAGATGCACAGCCAGTAAACCACTCTTGGACAGCTGTTTCAGTTTGAATGCAAATAATCAGCATGAGATTGGTTACTAGTTTGCCTATTGAGGCTTGGTAGTGCTTGGGAAGCAAAAACCCTTGAGAGAGAGATATATATTTTAGTATATTATAGGCACACTTTTATTTTATAATTTATATTTATATATCATTTTTTTAAATTTTTTTTGCAGCCTGGGGGACTGCCTTACCGTTCAGTCCATGCTGGCAGCTCCATAATATCAAATTTAATATATATATATATATATATATTTGTGTTAGGTGCTTAAGATAGTACAGTGTGGAATACCATGAATAAGCGTAGGATGATAAAAGGAGCAAGTCGGGAGTGGTGTGCCGAAACCGACGATGAGGTAGGCCTGAGAAAGAAGAGGGCCCACCCATGAAAAGAAATAGAAAGGAAAATAAATGTTAAAAGTGGTGTGGTGGGAGGGTCATTCAACGCTGACCTCGAACGGTAAGGAGCCAGGCAAGGGGAGTGCCTTAAGTAGGCTAGGGGTGGAAAACCAGCACCTCCCACAAATGCAGGCAAATTGCCTTAATACTTGTGTTAGGTGCTTAAGATAGTACAGTGTGAAATACCATGAATAAGCGTAGGATGATAAAAGGAGCAAGTCGGTTGTGGTGTGCCGAAACCGACGATGAGGTAGGCCTGAGAAAGAAGAGGGCAAAATTAAGTAATCCAATTTATTAACAGACAACCAATACATATACATTTATCAACCAGACATGTTTATGAAAGCATCTCTTAACTCTTGTACTGGGTTCGGTATGTACCGTGAGTAAGCGGATGACTTCCAGCGCCCCAGTGTTTTGATAACATGAGTTGGGACGTTGAAACTGGAGGCTGTGGACGCGGCTCCTATACGAAAGGAGTGTCCTGAGTAATTGTTTGCGTTGAGGCCCAGTTGTGTGAGCAAGGACCTGACGTAGGTCATGAAGGTTGTAGTGGTGAGTACTGCACCTTGTAGTTGTAATAACGGTTGCGAGGGCAGTAAGTGATGGTGCTGTATGTAGGCATCAAGAACTTTTACGGGACACCATCTGTTGTGCGTGGGGTAGTACGGAATGTTTACAGGTATGTGCTGGCTGGTTTTGGAGTGAGGTAAAGACAGGATGTAATGATCCATATGTTTTGTCAAGTGGGAATAGAGGAGGAATGGAGTGGTTTGGGTCGTGGAGGTCGTAGTGAATTCTCTGGGTCGTAGAAATCCATAGAAAGCGATGTATATTGCTGTTTTGATGATAGAATTCGTATTAGTGTCAAATGGTTTCAGGTCGAGTAGGTTAGATAAAGCTTTGAAGATATGGTTATCTATGGGTAGCCTCTGGGCCAAATGTGTGGGTTCTGATTTTTGAATACCTCTGAGTATGGTCTTAATTTGGTGAGAGGCCATGAAACTGTTGTTATTTGGGTGTAAGATGAGCATGTGGTGTTGAATGCCAGTGAGATAGAGTTTGATGGTGTTATATGACAATTTGAGTTTAAGGTGGCAAAAGGAAGCAAACCCCAAAAAAGATGTCATAACAAACGGTTGTATGATGTTATGTTCCAGAAGGAATCGTTTGAATAGTGTGAAAGCCCTGTTGTATGTTTTGTTTGTATTGTGTGAAAGTGCCAACTGAGACAATGTCCTGCTATGCTGCATGATGACGTCTAGTCCAGTATGAGTTGTTGAAATGTTGGAGTGATGGTGGCTGTGGGTGCTGCTGACGGGAGTGCTTGATGAAACTCCTGAAATTTAAAGCGAGACAAACTGTCAGCAGCTGTGTTGTATACACCTGGCACATGGAAACAACATAGGAAGAAATTATGACAAGCTGCCAACCAAGTGAGTTTCCTCAGAAATCTCATAATCGTAAGAGATTTGGAACGACCTTTGTTGATGATGTGACAGGTCGCCTGGTTGTCTGAGTAACAACGCACTGGCGTATTAGCCCATAAATGACCCCACGCTACGGCAGCCGCCACTATGGGGTAGATCTCAAAAAGAGCTGAGGTAGTGGAAAAACCTTCCAAATCCAGAACTGCTGAAGGCCAGCTGCCCCAAAGCCATTCGTTCCCAAAAATTGCTGCAAAACCAGTGGTAGATGCCGCATCTGACCAAATGGTAGGAGATGATTCAGTCAATTGAGGGAGGAACATACTTTTACCATTCCAAGTGGTTAAAAACCTCTTCCACATGTTTAGATCTGCCGTAGCTTGGGCATCTAAGGACAACCTGTGCGTGTCATGTAGAAAAAGTGGGAAAAGATGCAATAGTCGTGAAATAAAGGAGCGGCCTTGAGGTATGATGCGCATTGCAAAATTTAGTGACCCCAGCAGGGACTGTAGTTCTTTGCGGTTGCAAGTGCCGAGCTGTAGGTAGTTGTTTATGTAAGTGAGAATATTGTCTATCTTTTCGTAAGGTAGGCTTGCTTGCATTGTGGCAGAGTCTAACTGGATACCCAGAAAAGTGATAACCGTGTCTGGCCCTTCTGTTTTCTTTGGGGAGATGGGTACACCTAGTTGCTCAAACAGCTTAGTGGTAGCTTTGAGGCTAGTGGGAGGTGCAGTATTCTCCTCGACCAGTAGGAAATCGTCCAAGTAATGTAATACTGTAGGGCATCCGGCTATGTTCAATAGTAACCAGCATAGTGCTTCGGCAAATGTGTCGAAAATAGCTGGGCTACTTTTGGACCCAAAAGTTAACCGGGAGAAAAAATAGTAGTTCTCGGACCACTTGATGCCATGCAGGTGCCACAGTGTGGGGTGGATAGGGAGTAATTTGAAGGCGTTAGTAATGTCGGTCTTACTGAGCCAGGCTCCCACCCCTGCTTGTATGATGGCTGTAATGGCGTGATCTATGGTGGTGTATTGCAGAGAGAATTCCTCAGAGGGTATGAGGGAATTAAGACTGGGGTTGGCCGATGAGTGGGGAGCCGATAAGTCAATGATGAGTCTCTGTTTTTGGGAAGATTTCCCTGTGACAATACCAATAGGGTTGGTGCGCCATTCTGTGAATGGGGGAGTTCTAAAAGGCCCCAATACAAAGCCCTCCTCCACTTCTTGGTTTATGAGGGTGTCAACCACTGTGGGGTTGTGTTGGGCGGATTGTAGGTTTGGGCATTCCAGAGTGCCAGCTGGTATGTGTAGGATACCTGTGTGGAAGCCTTCTGTTAAACCAGAAATAAGAAAATCTACCAGGTGTCTAGATGGGTGCTGAGACATCAATGCTGTGAATACTGGCATATTAATGGACGTAAGGTAAGGCTTAGAATACATTTTATTTGGACACATGGTCTTAGCATGTGCCCTAAAACATTTTGAACAGACATGCAATAGTCTACATCCACTGTAATTACAAGACCCAACATTGAAATTATTACATATCTGGGACTTGCCCAGAAACTTGATTGGGCGTCCCAATTTGTCTTTGGATAGTTTCCCTGGATCCCCAGAGGAACTAGTTCCTTGTGTGGAGGCATGTCCGTCTGCCGTGTTGGGACAAAAATTAGTAGTATGGGCTGTGGAGGAGCAGTATGCACAAGCTGGTGTTCTTAGACCTGCAAAGTGTCTGCAGAATAAGACGGTATCAATCCTTCCCCAGTTGGATCGTGTACCGTACTGGGAGAAGGCTCCAGCCACTTTTGCAGAAAAAGACCTATGGTAGTCATAGAATGCTGAACCACCATATTTGTTGCCCAGGTCTACCAGCTTGTGCATATAGAGATCAAACTCCTCTCTTCTGTTGGGATAAACCGCACAGACGACATCCCTGTAAATACCAAACGCTAGTACAAATTCAGGGATAGTCAGTTTCCTGTTCAGGCGGGCATCCCTAGATCTGACAATAACAGAAACATCATCATAAGCATACGTCTTATGTTCCACAATGTCCTGGGAGGCAATCAACAGGGAAGCCAGGTTGACGTCTTTACCTTCCAGGATATCCCTTTTGATATGCTCAGGTATCATGTGGGCCGGGCTAACTTCCTGGTCATCCAGGGGGCTGGCTGGAGCGACTAATGGCAAGGCTGGTGTTTGTACCGCAGCCGCGGGTGGCCCTGCTAGAGTGAGGGCCGTGGTGACCGACTCAAGTTTCTCCAGCCTGGAGTTGACCTTGCCCATGGATGCCATGAGTGAGGATAACATGGCATGTATGTCCCCTGGGTTGGACTGGCTAGATCCTTCCCCGGCTTCCATGTTATTGGTTGATGTGCGTAGCAGTTTGAAAAGTTCTGCCTTCCTTGCTGTAGCGGGGTAGGGGATTTGTCGTCTCCTTAATTCCGTGGTTATGCGCGGGATTGTCCAGGATCTAATTGATGCTGGACTAGCTAGCTCTCCTCCTTGTGTGGGAGTGACAGCTCTAGCCGGGGTGCTAGGCAGGGAGAAATCCTCTACCCCTTCCTGAGACATACTATAAATAAAACAATAATTAGTATATAGAACCACCAAATTGTACTGGCAGGCTAGCTAGGCCGGATGGCGAAAGTATTATGCTTGTTTGGTGACAGGTGAGGCCCTACTAATTGCCAAGCGGCTTGAGAGGCTCTATCTATGCGTTGGCGCGAGGGGTTATTGAGGCCACTTGACGTAGTGGCAGGAGTTTTAGGCCTCTCGGTGACTGTACGACAGAAAACAGGGGAAGGGAGTGACAGGTGAGGCCCTCTCTTTGCAACATGCGAGGCGGCTAGCTAACGTGTGGCCCGATGGGTGTTTGCCTCCGAAACGTTTGAGGCGGGGTGTTGGCCTCGCGGGACCACTAACTAATGGCGACAGCCAAGATGGAGTAAATATCTATTGGGAATCCTGTGACCCTATTGCCAGTACTCTAAACTATGGGGATGAAATGAAATGTATGGTAGAATACCATATGAGCAGGTGTACGTACCTGGTAGTATGATAAATCACAGGAATAAACTGTGTGGAGCAATTATATAAGCTCGACAGCCTAAAAATGGGTAAAAGAGAGTAGTACGATGAGTGTGGGGTGTAAAAAGAACCAGACTTATAGTCTGTAGCAGCAATGTATAAAATTATGTTGATACCATGGGAATAGCTATGAGTGGCTCAGAAATGTTTGCATGTTTGAATAAGACATCTGAGGGAGGCCGTGGCCTATGTACAAACAATCTATGTGTTACGTGATAATGGTGTGTAAAGGAAAACATGAAACGTAGGTTATATACATATGTATATGACTGTGTAGGGGACGTATGATTGGTTGGATCAGTACGTGTGATTCAACCCGAGTATGCATGCAAAAGGATGTGAGCCTTATGTGTCATCGTCATGACAGAGAAATGAGGCCTGTAATGTAGGCTGAGTAAATTGAAATGAAATGGATAGTTATAAAACTCCTGGCGTGGGAGTTCAATGATCTGTACCGAAATGTAACTGGTTTTATAGAAAGGGACATGGATGAGGTCATGGCCTAATTAACACAGCGTTATGTATGATATGTAGCAGAAAGACCAAAGGCAGGGATACCCCAAAATGATTTAACATGATGTAAAGTGATGTATATCTATATGATATGTATGTATAGCAAAGACGTATCAGCCCGAGAATTATTGCTTAAATGAACCTATCCTTGTATGTGTTGTATTAATAACCCAGAAATGAGGCTTGTAACATGGCTGAGTCCATTCGTATAAATGGATAAGTAATGCAGACCCCTGAAAGCGTGGGAGTCAAATGGTATACACAGAGAAGTGGACTTGATTTGTGGACGTAATACAATACTGACAATTTGTTAAAAGTAATCAACAATAATCTATTTAAGCAAGCAATACTTTAACCGAATGTTATATACACATGAAATGGTGAATATAATTCATGAAAGGATTATACGTGAACACACAGAACAGCCGAAAGCAAATGTGAGGGGAACACAGAAGTTAGAATAGTTTAACCGTATGATTTATGCGAACCAAAGCGTGTGTGAGCGTATGTAAAATTTGCCGAACGGCAAAACAACCGAATGAACATTCGTTTAAATAACATGAATAGGATATGCGAAATGACTATTGAACGATTTAAAACATGTTCAGCCGAATGACCGTACGAAATGAAAAGCCCGCGAATGGCTTGAAAACATTCGTGTCATAACCAGGGAAAAGCCGTAAAGCGAGGACCCGTGCTGTACCGTACGCCGTGGGAACCAGTCCTGGCGTGACAGGAAGGTCTGACTTACGGTTTAGGAGTCCCTGGGACGCGATCTACGACGGAGAACGGAGTCAGAAGAAGCTGGACGGGCGGAAAGGCCTGAACAGGATTCCTGGACACAGCTTAACGTGGTGAAACCTCCTGGATACTGAAACCAAGATGGCGTCTGAGAGAACCCGGAAGTGGATCCTCATTCAACGCTGACCTCGAACGGTAAGGAGCCAGGCAAGGGGAGTGCCTTAAGTAGGCTAGGGGTGGAAAACCAGCACCTCCCACAAATGCAGGCAAATTGCCTTAATACATATATATATATTATATATCTATCTAAATGTATTTTAATATTAAAATACACAATCCATTAATCTGTGTATGTGTATACAAAAGTACTTGGCTTATATGTGTGTATATATACATACACACTTTTATTAACTTTATCAAACTTTTTAATAACTTATTGACTTTTTAAACTTTTTTGCAGGCATGAGGCATAGTCAGCACTGTATTAAACTTCATTATCTCCAGGCACAGAAAATATATAATTATTATTATTTTTTTTTTACTAAACCTCCAAAACACCTTTACATACACAAAATACCCACAATCCCCTGATAGCCCGATCTGGGCTATCATAATTTGACCGACAGCACGCATGGTCCCATGACCAAAACCGTTCCAGAGAATAAGGGCTTGTGGTCAGTCTAGTTCAGTAGTTTTAAACCGAACAAACTACTGAACATAGTCAATGTTCTTACCCTGGAGCTTGTTCACCTTGTTCGTGGGAACATTTCCACTGAACAGTGCTCTTCTAAGTTGTGTAGAACAGAACACAGGTTATCCTGGAAGTCCAGCGGTGAACTCGACAACCAAACACTGCTGCCTGCGTTCGTGGGAACAAGATGGCCGCCACCTAGTGGTCGTTTATGCGAACAGCAGCCACCGAGGCGAATACTTAGAACACTGTGGTGAAAAGTGGTGGTCTCTGGTTCATGCGGCTGTTCGGAAACCAAATAATATAATACCAATTGCACGAACAGCCTTTTTAAAGTATTTTTACCCAGGTCTATTTCAGGGGACCATAGTCCTGAGGCAGGAGGCTGGTAAGCAAGCCTCTCCAAGGACCTGTGATGAGGTTCAGTTCGTCACATCGATTTCTGAAAATTTATAACAAAGCCTAGGTTTTGAAGCAATGCAGCCGTCATGTCTGTGTGTAGTAAGTGAGGGTCTTGTTCCATAATCAGGATGTCGTCCAGGTAAATAATGGAAGGAATCCCTTGGGATCGGAGTAGTGCCATCACTGGTTTCATCAATTTGGTGAAACACCATGGTGCGGACGAAAGACCGAAGGGAAGGCACATTAACTGCCAAATGTCTCCTCGCTATATGAATTGAAGAAAAGCCCGGTGATTACAGGCAACAGGGACTGTGAGATATGAGTCTTTGAGATCTGGAGAACCAATCTCCCACGAAGAATGGATACCTTCCAACTTGAAATAGTGATATCTGACAATGATTTATAATTGGGCAGTGGTCTCCTGTGTTTTTTTTGAGGACAAGGAAACTGTTGCTGATGAAGATACAGGGATAGAGTGAGCGTTCGATCGCTTCTTTCTACATGAGTTTGGCTAGCTCTGCGTGCAACGCTAGCTCGTCTGTCATAGACATCAATATAGGTGTTGGAGGTGTATCCTGTAAAGGGAGTGTGGTTAAAATCTATTTTTAAACCCTTGACTGTGTGGGGAATCCATTGATCCTGTGAAAGTAGTTCCCACTGTTGAACAAAATGGGTTAGTCAGCCCGCAATAGGTACATTGCAAAAGGGGAAGTTTAATACCTAGAGCAGTACGTCCATGTAGGGAGGCAGATCCACGTCCCCTGATAGATCCTCTGTTAGTAAACAGTTGGCGGTGATGAGGTTGGGTGGTTCCCGAATTCAAATAGTCTGTGGGACGAGGCCTGTAGCCTGTGAAGGCAGCTCTGCTGATAGCTCGGCCATTGTAGCGACCAGCTCTCCCAGAAAAATGGCGTGTTTGAGAGCGAAACACTGGGAAGACTGGGCTTTGTTTAGATTAGTAAATACTGAGACGTGTTTCATGAGGTCCCTCATAAAACTGTCTCCAAATAATAGGCCGTTGGCTTCAGGTCCCCGTTATCTGGAACTCAGATCGGCTAATTTAGCATCTATTTTGTAAAGGTTAATAGGCATAGAGGTCTTTGAGCCCATTCCCACACAGAATGCAGATCAAATTCCCCACTAGTAATCGCCTCATTGGCTAGGATAAAAAGCTGAATGATAGGACCTGCAATGTCCAAGAGTTTGTCCTGGATTGCCTTGAGACCCTGTTCGATACCTTTTCGATACCTTTACGTGGGTTCTTGCCAGATTTTGTGAAGAACGTAACTAACATAGGATCAAATTCAAATGTTGTTGCCACCTTTTTTGGAATAGTTGGTCGAGTGCATTCAGCTCTGAGCTTAGCCCTAATCTTCTTCTTTTCTAAAGGCTTGCGCAGCCACATCTTGCAAAAATTAACAATGTGGTCTGGTGGGGTCCACTCAGCCGAGCGTGGGTGTGTTATAACCCTAGGGTCAAAAGTATTCCAGAAGCATCCAGTAGGATTTCTGAAGACTGGTTTTTTTTTTAGGGTTGCCAAAAGCTGGGTCTGAAGTAGATTTTTTTTTTTTTTTTAGTAGATTAATGTTTCCTTAACAAATTCAGATGCTGAGGAGTCTCTGAGCACATTCGCCGGGAGATCCTAGTCAGAATAGTAGAAACTGTAATCATCCATCATGTGACCCATAATATTGGATGTAGAGCCCTCTAGATAGTCCAAATTTTCATGGGTAGGGTGGAGTACACCTTTAATATTAAATATTTATAATAAAGTGGGTTGTCAGCCACAATAATTATTGGTGGGGGTACACTTTAAAGCAGTAAATAGATAAGTGGGGGTCACCCACAAAAGCCCTTCAGTTTATTTCTCTGAGAAGATGCTGATGCCGATTGGCCATTGCTGTGTTTGACTTGTGCTGGCTCTGACACTGATCTGCCTCCTTGACAGTCTCAGCCAATCCCATGGGGAAGCATTGTGATTGGCTCAGACCACCACTTCTGATGTCGGCAGACAGGCAGTTTCAGGGGCAGAGGCAGCAGCTTCAGACTTGAATACAAGTAAGAGTTTACTAAATATAGGGAGGCCATGGTGGGGCCCAGGGGCACTAGTTGATGATTTTAACACTGTAGAGTCAGGAATACATGTTTGTGTTCCTGACCCTATAGTGTTCCTTTAACTTCCAAACAAGTCATGCTGTACTAAACAGTGGAAAAACATTTTTTATTTTTTTTTGGCAAGCTTTTCACACAGGGCTCATAGTAGCTATGAGTTTTAACAATGATTCTCTGTGGTTTTAACAATGATTCTCTGTGGTTAAACCTAAACCTTAGACTTGGATTGTCTGAAGTACAATAGTTTGGAGTTAGAGCACAGTTAGACATTTAGCTTTGACAGTTTCATTCATGCTTTCTGGTGATGGAACTGCTGTAGAAACCTGAACTATACACATCATATAATGCTGGGATGCCTAGGATTAGCTAACAAGTTTCTGGACATTCATGTATTTGCAAAACTTGCAGCCAGAGGTTGAAAATCCAAGGGATTTGCAAAAACATACACATTCCAAGGCTGATGGACTTTGCATTCAATTGAAGTAAAATAAATATAATTATATAATGCAAGTCACATTGAATCTGAAATGTCCCATACATACTTAATTTGTTTTCCTTTATTTTTTTCCAATAGATGTAAAAAACTATCCTTATTGAAAGATGTGAAAAAGCATTTAAATGTTTGTTTTTTACAGTAACCTCAAACTAATTTGTACAATATAAAACCCTGGTTTTAACTTTTTGCTAGGATGTAAAATAAATATTAAAACTGTATTGAACCTTTTATAGATTCGAGGTTTTCATGAGCATTTTACAAAATCTACAGCTAGCCTTGGCCTATTATGCATAGGTGTGTAACCATTTTTTTGTTTTTATTCATTACACAGGAATTGCACCAATGATGGCAAAATCAATGCGCGCTTTCAGAAACAGAGTTGGACCAAGATAAATATATGGCTTCATGTAAGGTTGAAAAATGAAATCTTTATTTTTTTTTATTTTTATTTTCCCTTCCCTCTTTAAGCAAAGCACACTACGTGCTTCACAAATGTATGTATAAAATGATTTATATGCTAATAAAGTACATGAGAACTGTACAGTGATTGGTTTCATAATGTTCCATTGAGATAGTTCCTTTATTTTAAGTCCTTGTAACGTCAAAGTTACTTATTCTGTAGCACTAAAAAGCAAAAATTTATAGATATGCAGGGTATCAAATAATTTCATGTGGTGATCTGCAGTGTTGTACATACATATCTCTTCTTAAAGGTGAACTATCCTTTCCTAGGAAATATTAAAACACTTTTTATTTCTATATTTAACACATAGGTATTTGTGAGGTCTGAAATTAAATGTAAACTTAGAAATACACACCTTTATCCTGCAACCAAATGCCTCGATCTTACCTCTCTGTCAATCATAGTTATAATATTAATGCTTTGCATGTAGCATCTGCAGAGAATGATTACAGGTGTGAGCGGAAATGTTACTTTTTAATCTTTTCAGTTGCAATGTTTGTCCAGGCTTTGCCTTGTCTTAACTGGATTATTATATATTTTGCAAAATATTTAATATGCATAAAGTATATAAAAAAGAGAGGTTAACATAGATTTTAGGTCCCTTTCAATATTTTATTCAATGGTCTAAATTTAAATTTCAGAGACCTAAGAGTTCCCCTTTAATATCAGATCCCAAAGTGATAACTTCCTGTTATGCGGTCACTATTTTATTCATTGGATTGCTGGTGATGCACTGTGACTGTCAAAGCGATAGTGATGCAAAATCAGAGGCACTTTATAATCTCCAAGATGCATTCCTCTCAATGTTGAATTGCATGCTCACGGCTTTACAAAAAAACACAAAGGACAGTCTCCTAAAGTTACTGTAGGAAAGTCATGCAAACAAATTCACAGCAGGGGTTTATTCACTTAACTGTAAGTGGAAACACAAATGGCTAAATACAGACTACAATAGACCAGGTGTGACAACAGTGACTTATTTTTATTTTTTTTTGCAAAAATTTGCAATTAGTTTTCCAGTTTTATACTGCTGATGGAACAAATTGTATCTGGCTAAATTTGTCAGGTAGCTAAAATTAGGATTTTTTTTTTAATATAAACTCAGAGCATTCCTGTTGGTTTAATACTTTCTCAAATAATGTACTGACACAATATTACTATTAAACTCTATTAAAGGGTTTGTCTAGCTACCCTAACCACTACAGCCTACAGTTTTCAAATGGTTTGACACCTGGATCTCCTGCCTGCTCCTTTGCGGTCTCATTTTCTCTGATCTTCCCATTTGGGTGGAATTATTTGGCAGAGACAGATAACACTCTTAACCAATAAATCCAGCCCAAAATAAAGTGGAATTGATGCCATTATTTGTAAGGAGCCTTGAGGGGTCTACATTCACAGCTTTCAATCTTGTATTGACCAAGGCGCACACAAAAAAATATATATATTATCACACTGGCTTATAAATGTCATGTTTTCTTGAAGCGGTAATGGAGGCATGCAAACTCCTAGCCAAACTGATTTATTCATTTTATTTGCTGGATGGGAAACACTAATATAGTGCGGTAACATATTTCAAGATTGTGTTCACTCTACTACAACCCTGAAGTTGGTTTGTGGCACACTTTGAGGAGGCTCGAGGCACCAAATTATTATACTTCTACACACCACTGTGTATGTATATGGGTCTGATGCACACAGTACATGGACATTGGCCATTTTTAAGACTTAAGCAGATGACATTGGATCCATGCCTTGTTTTATAGAGGTCATGCACTAGATAATGATTTTGTATACTGACCCGCTAGGCCTTTTGAACACAGGTTATGTATAAAAAAATAAGTGTTGCACTCTGAATAATTGTCTAAAATAAATTAGTACAATTTTGAAAAGTTACTCTGCACCCTGTAGATTTTTGGTCTCTTTGCAATGACCTTAGCACCTTTTTGTTAGGGAAATTACAAACCTGTGCACTCACATTTACACATACCTTTATACAACCATATGTTCATTCATATAGTGATCCTTCTCCCACACTGTGCATTTGAGCCTTAGAAAATAGCAAGGTCTTCTAAGGCAGCGGGACCCTGCCTGTGGTACACATACACCCAGGGGTACACAAAACAAATTCTTCTACCACACCACACCGCACAGGTTGGGAACCACAGGGCTCATCTGGTTGTCTAGGCACTTAGAGCCACCTGATACATGTGCAGTCACGGACCCGGTTGTTTGAGTGTGAACGGGCCTGATCTTAACTGCAGGGAATGCTCCCAGCAAACAGACCCAGCCACACTGGTGGAGGGAACCAGGAGAGGAGTAAGCCACCAACTCCCAACAGTTTTAGTCAGCATAAGACAAAATTGTGACAACATATGTCTGCATGCACAACAATGTTTGCATCTGTGTGTCTGTATGTGTAAATGTTATTATCTGTGTCTGTGCATCTCCTGCTTCTCAGCCTTCCCTGCCCAGGGATCATTTGAAGTATCAAGCCAGCACTCGAGGTCTTGTCCTGAAGAAAGTTTGTTGCATGAACTGAAATGTCAACTATTGGATTTTTATATTTATTAAACCTTTATTCATTCTGCAAAGACCTTGAGTGCTGGCTTGATACTAAATATATATATATATATATATATATATATATATATATATTCATTCCCCGCCTATGGATCAAGTGCAGACGTAATTCTTAGAGTTATAGGTGTGGTGGGGGTATCCTCATAAAAAAAAAAAATCCTATATGGTGAAGTATGTAGAGCAATGGAGCTGTAAAACCTGGCTCCTCTGATAGCGCTTGAAGTGGTATGATCCTCACTCAAGGATACAGGTGTAAATATAAATTCTTCTGTCCATGTATATGTGGAGATAAACAAACAGAACCACAATAGTGTACACCGTAAAAAGGAGTGTAAGCAGAAATAAATAAGTTAAACCTACTCATATGCTAAAGAGCAAGTTCTGGTTTGCTCAATCCAAAGAGCTTGGGTGGTATGATCCCCACCAGGGATATAGCTCCAAACAATCCAACAGCAGCAAAGTTAGGTCCAATAAAAAAAAAGTACTTTAATGTAATACAATATAAAATAAAATAGTGATATTGTTATAAACAATACACTTAAAGCGTTTCTCCTTGGATAGGTCTTATCAAAAGTTTTACAGAGTGAATGGGACCTGAGCTGCTTAAATAGGGTTAGGATTTTGAAAATAGCTGTTTTGTGACATCATAGTCACATGACCAATTTTTTTTTCTCTCTTTTTGGCTCCAACAAAATGGCATTGGCATAAAGCTGGTTAGCCCAAAAAAATGGTGGACAGGTAATTTGTATAACAAAGATAAAAGGGGCAGTAGCTCCCTCTACAGCCAAAAAACTGGAATAACACATATTGAAAGAAATAAGAGAAGCAATAGCTCCCTCTATAGACATAAAATAAAAAATTGAGATAAGACACTAAAACAACTTCTATTAATAATAAATATCGATGCATAGACAATATTAGATAAAATAAGTATAATTTTAGGGAAAAATTATGTAAAAAGGACCAAAATAATACAAAAAATTTAGTACATGGTTATAACTGAATCTAAGAGCATCTTTGTAAATACCGATACAAGTTAAAAATGTGCTTCATATAATGACAAATCTAGATGATAGTCTTAAGCAAATTAAATTAAAAATAAGTGTATTTCACATAAAAAAATTAAAAAAATTAATAATTTACAACACATAAATCATAGTAACAATGAGTGTAATACAGAAGGTAAAATCGAATACAGAGCTATAGGCATTAAAAATGTAAATTAAAATCCATGGGAGAGGAAATGAGATGGAAAATTGAATAAGAAATAATAAAAGTTATACAAAATTGTACAGATCAAAGTCTGAATTAAGCCCGGTGGGGATTAGTTTTTAGGTAAAAGACCCATTTCATTTCACACTGCCCAAGGATTTTTGTAATATTGCCACCTCTCAATGGTAAAGTACAGACATCTATAGCGCAAAATTTCAGGAATATAGGATTATTATTGTGTATTTGGAAATGTTTGGACACTGTATGGTTAGCAAACCCTTTTAGAATATTTCTGCAATGTTCCACTATCCTGGTTTTAAGTTTTCTAGTTGTCATGCCTACGTATTGGAGACCGCAAGGGCACTCCAATACGTAAAGTAAATTTTTAGTATTACAAGTGATGAAATTATTTATTTTGTATTCTTTGTTAGTACTACAAAATTTTAATCAAATATCACTGACCGGAATTATCCGTGTATTTGCATGCCGAACACATTTTACATTTGAAGAAACCTTGTTTGTTTTTGTTTTTAAAAAGCGTGTTTTTTTTGTTTTTGTTTAGTGGATAATTTTGTGTATTTTGTAGTCAGGAAGGATCTGAGATTAGGAGCTCCTCTGAATAAGATTTTGGGTTTAGACGGTAGGATTTTTCTCAGTATATCATCCTCCTTAAGTATATCCCAATGTTTATTGATAATTTTTTTTCATTTGGTTACTTTTGTTGCTGTAATTAAAAACTAAAGGAAGTATTATGTCTTGTTTTTGTTTCAGTTTATATTCCAGCAGGGTATTTCTGTCAAGGGTTTATATATTTTCATTTATCTTTTAGCATCTGAGCTATAAGATTATACCTCTGGTGTTTACATTTAAAAAGTTTAAAAATTCAGCTAAAACTTTCTCTGGCCCCTTCCAGGTAAAAAAAAAAAAAAACAATCGATGTAGCGGCGATAGAGAACTAGGTTCGCATCCCAGGCATGCCCACCCTGCCCCCCATACAGAGAAGTATTCCCAGTCTGCCATAAAGAGGTTGGCATAGCTAGGGGCGAACATAGTCCTCATCGCCGTACCAGTTTTTTGCAGGTAAAACGTATCATAAAACCAAAAATAATTGTTTTTTCTAAAACCAACTGGATACCTTCCACCATAAAATTAATTAGCATTTTTGAATAATTTTCTTTTTCCAATATATTTCTTATTGCGTACAACCAATATTATGCGGGATGATGGTGTATAATGACTGCATGTTGCTACTTTCTAAAATGTAATTATCGTCCCAATCTATTTTCTAAAATTTGAAGAAGACCCATGCTATCCCTTAGGTAGGATTTGGTCTTTTGTACATGAGGTTGCAAAATTATATTTATATATTCAGAAAGGCTTGAAAGCACTGAATTAATACTTGAAACTATGGGATGACCAGGGGGATTTTTTTATGTCCTTGTGTATTTTAGGAAGTAAATATATAACTGGTATAGACGGGAATTGTATATTAATGTAGGAATATTCAGAATTATTTAAAATATTGTTGATTTTACCCTTGTCACTGAGGAGTAATTTCTTTTTTATAATTTTGGTAGGATCTTGAGTGAGAGTTTCATATACGGAGATATTTTGTGTGTATATGCTTCTGTCATATAAATGTTTTTAGGCATAATCACTAGGCAGTCTCCCTTGTCTGCTGGTTTTATAACTATGCTATCGTCATTTTTCTATTCTTTTAATACTTCCCTCTCTTTATTTTAGTAAAGTTATTGACATCTGTTTTGCTGTGTTTTATTTTATTTAAATCCTGGGTTACTAGCTTTTAAAGTTATTTCCTTTGCCCGGTCTGTGAGTGGTACTTGCCACTAACCCTTTGTTTAATCCAGTATGGTGAGGTACCTGGCTTTTCCAAGTCTTTCTACAAGTTCATCAAGCCTTGACATAGGATATGCATCAAACTTGGATATTTCATTAAGCTTCTGGTAATCATTGCAGAATGTGATTGTACCATCTGGTTTTGGTACAAGCACAATTGGGCTATAACAATCATTTTGTGTCTTTTAAATTACCCCAAGGTCCAACATTTTCTTTACTTCGGTTTTCATCGCTTCTCTAAGAGCTTCTGGTAGTCTACATGGCTTAAGATGGATTCCTTTTCCTGGCTCAGTGTTATCATGCTTTATAACAGCAGTTCTCCTCTTTATTTAGTCTAATGAAGTCTTTTACCTCCCTTTTTTGGTGGATAGTTAGGGTTTATGATATATTTACAGTTGGGTAATGATCCTTTGGAGGGAAGTGTAATGTTTCTACAGTCAAAAACATTTCTCTTTCCATGGCTTAAGTATATTCACATGGTACCTCCTTTTGTCTTCCGGGCTGTCTTACTTTATAATTTACTTTCCCCACAACACCCTCTGACTTCATATGGGCCATGCCATGTTGCTAGGAATTTGTTCTCAACCGTATGAACCAAAACTGTGCTGGCATGGAGTCCCTAGGGTCCAGTAGGGCTGCTGGCGAGCAGTCCCTGGGGTCCTGTGGGGCGGCTGCTGCTGAAGCGGTCCCTGGGATCCTGTGTGGCGGCTGCCGAAGCGATCCCTGGGGTCCAGTGGGGCTGCTTGGGCGGGTGGCGAGGGAGTAGGGATCTCCTTCGTGCGACTTAGTGACATCATATTCCGGCTCCAGCATTAGTGCTGTCTGCGCGAGGATGCTGAGCAGGGAGATCACTGCTCTCTCGCCGCCCGCGGCCATTTTATTTTTCAAACTTTTGTCGGAGCCCCAATTGGGAAACGCTGCTCTAGGGTATCAACCATACAAGAGTTCCAAAGGTGAAAACCCAGTAGATGTTTGAGGGACTTCTCTAATATCAAACATTAAATAAGGTAGAAGGCAATCCCAGTTTTTCCCATCTTTATCAATGGCCTTTCTAAGCATAGCTTTTAGGGTTTTATTTAATCTCTCCACCAAACCATATTCTTGTGGGTGAAATACTGAGGTTTTCAACTGCTTCATATGAAGGAAATTGAATAATTCTTTTGTAACTCGGGATATAAATGGAGTTCCCTGATTTGTCAGTATTTCCTTGGGAATCCCAACCCTAATCAACATCGATATTAGTTCCTTAGCAATAGCTTTTGCTGAAGTTGTACGCATAGGTACTGCCTTAGGGTAACAAGTAGCAAAGTCTATTACCAATATGTACTGGTGTCCTCCTAGCAGATTTTATAAGAGGGCACACAAAGTCCATACCAATGCGTTCAAATGGAACCTTTATAATGGGCAAGGGTACTAAGGGACTACGATATATTGTAAAAGGGGCAGTTAATTGGCAATCAGGACAGGATGAACAATCTGTAATTGATGCTATTACACCTGGCCAATAAAATCTCCTGAGAATTCTCTCTTGTCTTATCAACCCTTAGGTGTCCCCTAAGAATATGGCTGTGCGAGATGCAATACTGTGTCTTGATATGCCTGAGGTACCAATTGTTGTTTAACAGCCTCTACTGTTCCAACTCTGTACAGTAAATAATTTTCTACTTCAAAATATGGATAAGACAGAGTTTTGTTGGGATCATCAAGGGTTCCATTCCTCATGAAGGTATGGTTTCTAGCCTCAGATTAAGTAAAGGTCCTCCCACTGTGCAGCTCTGAAGTTACACAGGTTAACCTCTAGGTCAGTCAGTTCTAGAACATGTACTGGGCCACTAGATGGACCTGCATATGTCAGCTGTTATTTCCAACTATGGTTTCCATAGAGGTTGAATGCTTGTTTTTAGCAGCAATTTCTCTGTCCAAGTCATCCCCCAATAAATCGAAAAATGGAAAGTTACTAACAGTTATGGATACTGATTTATCCTGCTCAGTGTCTGTCCATAAATACAAAAAATAGGAAAATCCCTACCAATTATCATTTCATGGACTAATTGCTTTACCAGACCAACTGTATGATTTACAGTGCCACTTTGCGTCTCAATAATTTCCTCAGCAGTATGTCACCATGTATACGGGCAATTTCTAGATTCTGAGTCATTTACTTGAATATTTCTTAACAGACCTCGGTCTAGAAGCGTAACCATACTCCCAGAATCTAGTAAAGCATTAATGTCTCTTCCCTCTACCTTAACAGTACACCAGGGATGGCCCTTCAGACAATCATTTTTGGTGACTGCATATACTGATCAAGAGAAGAGAGTAATCCTCCCTCTTCTCACCAACATTCCATTCCATTGCAACAATATTCTCAGGACAGTCCTCTGCAATATGTCCATATTCCTTGCATTGAAAACACTTAATGTTATAATTGGGCATAATTTTGTGGGTTTGTGTAGAATCTTCCAGCCTAACAGAATTCTTGCCCTTTGCTGGATTGTCCCTTGGGTTGTACAAACACATCTGCTGCTGCCAAGACTCCCTTTTCCTTGGAACAGTCTTATCCCATTTACTGGGACTTTGGATCTTCAGGGTCCTAGGTCTCTAATGGTTGGAGAGTTGAAGAAACATACCGTTCAGCCATTTTAGGATCACTCTGGCTGACAGGCAATCCTCTCAGGAACCGGTCCATCACAAGCTGTTCCATGATGTGACTGGCTGAATTAACCTCTGGCTGTAACCATTTCCTGTAAAGATGGATCATGTCAAACATTTGTGACCATACTGCTTTGTCTTGGCTAGAAGTGCAGGAGTGAAATCTCTAGGCACAAAATGTTGTTGTGACTCTCAAGTGGGCCAAGATTTCTGCTTTCAGCTTCTTGTAGTCACAAGCTTGTGCAGGCTCCAAATCATAATATGCCTTTTGAGGCTCTCCACTCAGGAATGTAGTGAGAAGGCTTGCCCATTCAGACTCAGGCCAACCTTCTCTTTCAGCTGTCCTTTCAAGAGCCATCAGGTAAGCTTCCACATCATCTGTCTACCATCTTTTGCAAATAATTACTTACTGCAAGAGCCTTAGAACTATGTGGCACTTCCACAGTATCTGACCAGCCACTCAGATAGGTTCTGGATCTCCTGCTGCACGGCACAAGTGTCATTTTGCTGCTCCTCTTTTTGTTTGGTCCTCCCACCATTTGCTGCATGACTGTAATATTTTCTTGCTGGGTGGCTGTACTTGTTGCTGGGTGGCTGCAGCCTGCAGTAAAGCCGTAACATCCTCCATTTTGTTGGCATTGGTTCCTTTTACAGACTCAGTGTGGTGCTGTCATCCTCCACCATATGTGACCTGTGACCATACAACCACACAGTCTTAATGATAGGAACACCACACCAAACCCATATTAAATAGCAAAATTGCTCTACCACAGACAGACCACCTTCCTGGTGCTATTAATTTACATATTCCAATACTTTTGAACAAAAATATACACTCCATCCATAACAGTGCCTTGCACTCTCACTATATATATATATATATATATATATATATATATATATATATATATATATATATAATTATTACCTCCTATATAAAACATAGTTTACCTATAACGAAAAACCTAGCTCATCTGAGCTCTAAGAAGCAGAATATCCAATTTATACTTTGTTAAACGAAGTCCACAGCACTTCTAGATTATCTTCACATTTGGACTTTTCTTAAACTTTTGCTTCAACTTTAGCATTCTACTTTCAGCAACAGTCTCTCTCCCTTATATTTGCCTTGCAGACTGGAATTTAAGCTGCTGCTAAGGAAAGTTTGGGATTACTCCTTTTGCAGTTGTTTAAAATCTGCAGGCTGGATGGTTATACGCATCTTTCAAAACAAGAGATGAAATAGAAATACTGTCACTGTCTATTCCATGCACATTATCACAACATGCACAAACTTACATTTTATACAGCCATTCACACTCATACCCTCACACACTTGATTAATTTAGATCTTAATACAAGGGTAGGCAGCCTTTGACACTCCAGATGTTGACTAATTTCACCCTACTGCTGGAGTGCCCAAGGTTGCCTATTCCCATCCTAATCCATGCTATCCTGTGATTTGCTGCTGGGATCAGTTTGTGCACAGCTCCCTGTAGATCTTGACTGATACTGGGGTTACATTCTGTCTGGGATTCGCACAAGGTGGTGGGGAGCTGTGCAGTCAATCCACAGTCTGATTCCAGCAGCTTTCGTGCCACCTGTGAATTCTACTCAATTGAATCTGCAGAAGGTAACATACTAATCCATGGACAGTGGGGTCGTCCAGCACATATTACAGAGAAGCCTCTTACTTACCAGTGGTGATTGAATCACAGTAAGTGCCTGCTCTGGTGAGGGAGTGGTGCTCTGTGACCCGAGATGGACAACCCCACTTCCCTTGGATTAGTATGCTACTTCCTTAGACTCCATAAATTCTGACCAATTCCCATCACCCTTGTAGTTTTAACAAATGCCTGCAATTGCTGAGTGGTTTATGCTTACACTGAGTGGTCTGCCTTCTCAGATGACATTGATATAAAGATTAACCCTGTGATTTGCATCAACTGTCTGCTGTTCCTGCTACAGACAGACAGACATGTAAAAAAATAGCAAGGATGTAATCAGTGGCTGGCTTCAGACAGAACAGTGACATCTTGAAAGAGATACACTTGAGTCCTGTAATAATTGCCCCAAGCAGTATAAAAGTTCCCCATGCAGCTCTGCATGGTGGCCCAACATAAAAATAAGCAATATGCTGAGTCAGTACATAAATCCCAGTTTATTTATGGCTCCAAGCAAGCTACCATGCTAGATGCAGTACTAGATGGTGACAAGGATAGAGGGGGAGATTTTGCACGTGAAACCCCTTTGCTGGCAGAGCTACCCTTTTACACAATCTCTGCCCTAATTAGGCAAATACTTCTGTAATGTTAGGGTCTGTTACCATCTCCCCATTATGCCTTTTTAGGACATGGTAAAATAGTCTATTCTTACACATATTGTATTGTTTTTATGTTAAGCAAACCCATCATTCCTATGTTCTCCGTTGGCCGAGTGGTTGCTTGTGAAACAAGCTAATATCTAAATAAATCTAATCTAAATAAAATATTAGACTGATATAGGCATTGACTCAGTCCGGCCATGCACCAGTGACAAAGACTATTCAAATGATTTCAGGGGCCATAGCATGTAAACATTAAATAGGACCCTAGAGATCAATGCTGGCACACAAACTAGTAATTAGAAAGTTGCTTTTAAAAAAGGCTTCATAATATTTCAATAACAAATCACAACTATTAACAAAACAATTATATGGAATACAAATAAAATTAACTACATCCTTCCCCATTGTACAGTGAACAAATTAAAGGGGAACTTGACTCACCAGAACCACTACAGCGTAATGTAGTGGTACTGGTGTCTGAAAAGCCTGCAGTGATCGGCTATAATGTAAATGCTGCCTTTTTTAGAGAAACCTTTTCGTCAAACTATACGCAAATAGGCTGAGTAACATCCTCCCATTTTTTTTAAATTTTTTTTTTTTTTTTTTGCGCCAGTAAATTTTCGTAGCGCTGTACAATGGGTGGAGTCTATGATGACTGAGTGGGCTTCACTAAAAATAATCAAGAAGTGAACAAGTCCAGAAAAGTTCTTAACAGTATGCATCACACAAGGGAGAGAGGATTAATCATTTTGTTAAATGCTGAAAAGGCCCTAATTTTCTTGGAGGAGTCAAGCACAAATTCAAATTCCCCAAAGAATTTTACTCTGTATTTTAAATACTATAGATAGAGCCACTCATCAGCAAATGTAATGAATGTCTGCTTCATGTTCGATTACTTTAACATCACAAATGGAACCCCACAAGGGTGTTCTTTGTCCCCATTACTTCATGTTATAGACCTGGAACACTTGAAAGCTGCAATTTAAGAAGACCCAAATATTCAGGGGGTGCATATTCACTCTGCAAAAGTAAATTACTTCAATACCATCATAACCACACTCCTGTGAACCCAAATTACTATTTTACACATTTAACTCTCTTCTTCATCCTATTGTTTCTCCTACACCTACTAACTTGACTGCCTCAGACTTTGTAAAGATCTCGTCAGTGAAGTGAGTTGAAATCAGAGATATCTCATCTTTCTTTTTCCCCTAACCTCACTCCCTCTGCTGTTCTATGTTCATTTGCACCCGCTACAATGGAAGAGGTTTCTGCTCTGCTCCAGCCCTCCCACCCCACCACCTGCTCCCTAGATCCAATTCCCTTGCATCTCATCCGTACTCTGAGAATTTCAGTGAGAGGTAGAGAAAGAAGACAATCTCTCTCTCTCTTCTGGCATATATCCATCGCCCTTCAAACATGCAACTATAACCCCAATTCTAAAGAAGCCCATCCAACTACCACCCTATCTCACTACTGTCTTTTGCATCCAAGATGCTTGAAAGAGTTGTGTATGTGAGATTGACAGAATTCCTCAAGTTCAACTCTCTGTTAGACCCGCTTCAGTCTGGTTTCTGCGTTAAGCACTCTGTGGAAACTGCACTGACCAAAGTATCCAATGTTCTACTCCCTGCAAAATGTTGTGGTCACTACTCTATGCTAATACTCCTTGACCTTTCTGCGACTTTTGACACTGCTGATCATCATCAACTGCTTCTTCTAATCCTCCGCAATATCAGTCTACACGATACTGCTCTCTCCTGGTGCTCCTCCTACCTCTCCCAGCGCTTTTTCAGTGTTTCTCTGTTTCACCTCCCCAACTCCTCTCTATTGGTGCCCCCCCAAGGTTCAGTCCTTGGTCCACTACTGTTCTCCATCTATACTGCCTCCCTTGGTAAACTCATTAGCTCCTTTGGCTTCCAATATTATTTCTATGTGGATGACATGCAAATCTATCTTTCATCTCCTGATCTCTCCCCGTCCCTCTTGACTAGTGTCTCTGACTGCCTCTCTGCTATTTCTAACTGGATGGCTGCCTTAAACTCAACTTGACCAAAACTGAAATGCTGATCTTTCCTCCCTCAATTGTTGCTACTCCTGTGTCTCTCACTCCAAGTCAACATTGCTACTATCAGCTCCACCACGCAGGCTTGCAGCCTAGGTGTTCTTTGACTTCGACTTCTCGTTCACGCCTCATGTTCAGTCTATCACCAAATCCTGCCGCTTCCATCTCAAAAACATTGCGCGCATCTGACCCTACTTAACACCAGATGCACGAAGGTGCTGGTCTATTCCACTGTCCTTTCTCGCCTTGACTACTGTAATCTGCTTCTCAGTGGTCTTACGTGATTCCAACTTGCGCTGTTACTGTCCATAATGAATGTGGTGGCGAGGCTCATCATCCTGTCCGCCCACGCCTCACTCTTCTGTCAGTCCCTACAATTTAAAATTCAGGTTCTTGCTTTCAAATCTCTACATAATGCTGCTCCCACCTATCTATACTCCCTAATACACAAGTATGTCCCATCTAGACCCTTACGCTCTGCTTAAGACTTACGTCTATCTTCTGTCTGTACTCCCACTTCTGATGCTTGCCTTCAAGACTTTTGGAGGGCTGCACCATTCCTGTGGAACTCACTTCCCTCCTCTGTTAGATGCTCACCCAGTCTCCACTCCTTCAAAAAATCATTAAAAACCCATTTTATTATAAAAGTCTATCAAATAAACTGTTAATGGCTCCTGACTGATTCCTCTCTTGCAACTGTCATTAGTCTAATACTATCTTTTTGTGTCACTTCACCCCACTCCCTCCCAACTTGTCTGGTTATGTTTTACATGTTTGTTCGACCACAGACTGTAAAGCGCTGCAGAATTTGTTGGCGGTATATAACTAACATAATAATAATTTTCCTAACTAATTTGCAACACCAATTGTGAAGTATAGTGAGCAATCATATAAATTAAACATTACAAAAACCCAGGCACTAGGTATAAACTTGGCTGCTCCAATTCTCACCAATCTAAAAACTGCATTCAGCTTTGACTTGTGATCAGACTTCCTGCCCTTTGTGGATATATGTCCAACCAGCAAACATGCAAAAATTATTTTGTCAAAATTATCTTAAATTACACAGACTAGATGGCAGGTATTGTATCGATGTTGCAAATCAGTTTAGATAGTTCTACTCCCTAAAATACAATACTTACAAAAATATAAACATGTCCCACTCAAAAAGGGGATGGGGGGGGAAGTGGGGGGAGAGATTGGGAGCATGCTATAGTGTACACCTGCTAGTAGAAATTAAATCCACATGGCATGGGTTTCATTTTTGGATGTTTTCTTTTACAAAGCTGATCTGGTCTCTACAATCAGTAAGAAATATTACATTATAGATACCAATTATTTGGAAGAGTATGCTGTATTAGAATACTTTCTTATGATCATAATAAAGTACAAAAGAGTGAAATTCTTTAATATTTTCTCCCCCACTTCGATGCAACCTCCTCAGTAGAAACACATTAAGTCTTGCTGAACAAAATGCTCAAATAATAAATACCTTTTCTATGTCTTTCCTTCATAGAACATGGCTTATGCATGAAGTAAAATACTTACACCACATTTTTCACAATGGGTCTTTGAGGCTATAAGCTGGGCTGCCTCAACTACCTTCTGCGATGATTTTCTCTTACATGCAAATTAAATCTTTGTTAGGACTCCTTTTACTGATCCATGAACAGAAAATCCCCAGTGTACAAAATTTGATATACTTCGATAAATCGAATACCTCCCAAAAAATTACTGTCTCTGTTACACATTGATTAATGAAATGTCATCCACATGTAGTTTAACATTTTTTTTTCCCACTTATGGCACAAGAATATAGGGTATGACTTGGACCCAAAAGGCTACACTTACATTTTTCAACTGCACAAAGGCCTTACCCTCTTTAGCTCCTACTTGGAACTCGTAATAAAAATCAATTACAGATGGTTCTTGGTGCTGGCTTGACTAAATCATACAGACCCGACAATATTGAATAAATCTTGGGGATGTAAGATGGACTTAAGAACAATGAAACATGTATGGTGATCTTGTCCTTAACTTAAGCC